CTCTTGGCAGCTAGTGGGAGGGCGGCATGCCATTGGCACACCTTATCGCGTCCTACTTCAATGTTAGAGCTCGATCTTCCTGCAATTTCGAACTCCCGGGCCCGACTTGTGAAGCCTGAAAAGAACATTGGGGATTGATGTAAACAGCTGTGATACGAGACACTGCGCCACCTGCTATTACATACAGGGGGGCCTAACGGCTCGGCTTGGGGCAACTCCAGCTATCTCCGCAGGTGCTACGTTCGGCGGCCATGGCTTCAGCTGCGATCACTAGGTGAGACCGTCCTCCCCCACTCAAAGAGGTCTCGTTTAGAGTCTGCCTACGGGAGACTAGGCAAGCTGACCGCTCCATACGTAGATTCAATGGCTGATACATATGTAGCATTCTGCGCAACACACTGCGCACCTTGAAGGTGTCAGCAAGTTCCCGATCGGTGACCCGAGTTTGGGGGGTACAGCATGAAGCGGCGGCGGCGGAGTGTGCCGCCGTCATCGCGGTGCACCCACAACGACACGTTGAACCGGCGCCGCAGGAGGATTTACTCCCTATTGCGGCGAAGGGTCCAATCACCGAGGCGATGTTCTACAGGGTTGGTGAGTCGGACATGCCTTTGGCTTTTGCACAGTCAATATTGATGATTCACTCGACATTTGTGCCGCACAATGGCGTAGTAGTGATGATGACAAAATCCCCCCTCCCCCCGGAGTATTACTACTCGGCAGTCTGGGACAGCATTCTGACATCGACGGATCAGCTTCTGGGTTTTCCTGCAAGACGTTATGTCCACCAGAACGCCCCCGTCAATGCAATCCAAAATAATTGTAACATCACAATGCCGTCGGTTGTTGACAGATTTTGGCATGCGATGTCGAGATGAAACTTCACAATGGACCAGTAAACGTTTGGGTTTTCTTCAACAACAGACTGACAAGCCGCTGTTATGAGGTTCGCAACCATATTTATACAACGGGCGACGCTGAGACGGCCCTGCTCCGACCTCACTGACTCCTCTATGTCGCTCCTGGGCCTCGCTTCCCTCCTATCCATTATATGTTTAACTCTCTTGCAGGTGCATGGGGCACAAACATTCTGGCCTGCAGCGATACCACTTGCTGTACGCACGCCGTACTTGAACTCATGGCAGTACACAACGAAGACGTCTGGGAGTAGTACAAATCAATGGCCGTCTTTTTGGAACGGGGTGGTACGATCTTGACCATTCGTTCATGCTCATGGGCTGACCTTGCAATCAAATAGACTCTTGGGTGGATTGGTTACCTTCGAGTGGACGGAAGCACGTACAGTTTGCTTGGCAGTAGCGCCTACATATCTGCTGGTTTCGTAGTCGAGACACAACTGACACCCACTCGTACCATACAAATCATCGAAGCAGGTCCCATGAACGTTACCTTGACGTTTCTGAGTCCTATAGATGTAAGTCTGTGAACCAGAAATAATCCCTATATTGCTAACATCAGGACAAGCCATCTGATCTCGTACGCCAATCTCTTCCATTCTCCTACTTGGCCGTGGACTTCGCGTCCACCGATGGCCAGCCCCATGACATACAAATGTACTTTGACATCGACGGAGGTAAGTACACTAGCAAGGTACGCGTATTTGATTGCTACTGAGATGAATCTATCCTAGAATGGCTGTCCGGTGGCAACCTATCTCAGAAGATGACATGGAGTCCGCCGATGCAAACCGGTAGTATCGTTTATCATCGGTTGCAGCTTGAGCAAGAGTCGCCGTTCCAAGAGCAGCATCAGCAAGCCGTAGATGGTACAGCTTACCATGCAATGGGGCTGGTATGTGAGGGTTGTCCCGATCATGAATTGTTTTGACCTCATTTACAGGGGCAAGGACGTAACATAACTTGGCAGACTTGCTCGAACAGCGTATGCCGTGCAGAGTTCATACAAACCGGTGGCGTCAACGGCAACGACAATAACAATACCGATCGGAACATCGATGCGTACGTTTCATGGCGACGTCGCCTTACAGCGGAAGTTAATGCGTATCACAGCGACCTGCCCGTCTTCCCCATCGCGGTCGATTTCGGCAGTGTCTCATCTTTGGACTCACCGGTTGTCTGGGTAGTTGGCTATGTCCGCGATCCAAGCATCAGTTACAATTTATCAGGAACTATCACATCACTGCGTCCCTATTATACAACGCAATTCAATACTACCGAGAATGCCGTGAGTAGAGATACGGCCTCGGTGGCTTACATCACTGAACTTCGCCTCCTATGCAGTTGGAGTTCTTCATTTCTGATTTCAATAACTCGCTCACCCAGGCAATACTCCTGGACACGGAAATCTGCAAGGCAGCTTCGAGCATTTCTTCCGACGGTAAACTGTTCGACATGATCTCGCTGGCCACACGTCAGGCGTTCAGCGCCCTGGAAATCACGGCTCCTGATGACATTGGTCAAGCGGGCGCCGCAACTAGGATCTTCATGAAAGACGTCGGCACTAGTCGGTCAGTAATGCTCAGCCTATGCAGCTACGTCGTATCTCACACGACATTCCACAGTCGGGTCACTCCTGTGGAGAAGTTATACGCAGCGTTGCCCATGTTCTTGTATCTCAACGCCTCGCTAGTCAAGCCACTCCTGGTACCTCTCCTTGAACAACAGAACACATCATTAGGTGCATTCCCTTACGCAGCGAAGGACATAGGTAAACTCATACCACACTTCCTGACGAAAACATGTTGATTGTCTTTCTCAGGTTCCTCGTACCCGGCAGTATCTGGTCCGAATCTGACATCTCAAGAGGCATATGAACGTGAGCGTGCAGTTTCGTATGCATCCGCTTGAACTTGGTCAACTTTGTAACCGCAGAGTCTGGGAATATGCTGATCATTGCCCTCGCTCACGCCAAATACTCAAATGATACATCGCTGCTCCACGATTATGTGCGTGCTCTTCTTCGGAATTGCTTGCTGAGTTTAGCTCCACGCGCGTGCAGTATCCCCTGCTCAAGAATTGGGCCGGATATCTGAAGCAAAGCGGGTTGTTCCCTGCGGGCCAGTGTGTATTTTGACGATGCGGCGCGAAAACGTATCACTGAGAACATTCCAGACTATCCATCGACGACGGGACTGACGCAACAAACTCGACGAACCTCGCGTTGAAAGGCATCTTCGCCATTCAGGCCATGGCAGAGATCAGTCAACTAGTCGGGGAAGGTAACGATTCTCAGCAGTTCAATGTAAATTCGTCACCGGTCTATGATGACTTAGCAAAGACAACTGATGAATTTTTGCGTGTCAACAGAGCACAGCGTCCGGCCTCATGAACAAATGGCAGACGCTTGCACTATCGTCAGACGGCGTCGTGCTTCCAACGTTTGGCGCGAAACTTCAGAGCTCCTGGTCTTTACCGTACAACCTTTACCCACAAACCCTGTTTGGGTTCAATCTCTTGAATCAGACAGTACGTCGTTGTGTTGTTGACAACCATAAGACACCCTAATCTCGCTACACAGTGGCTTGACAGACTTACCGTCAAGTATGGACAGTGGATTGAGTCTACTGATGGTAAGGACCCCCTTCCATCCCACTAGTCCCGATCACACAACACATCTCCAGCCAGCTATGTGTATGGATTGCCGGTACAGACTCCCCCTGGGTCAGTTGGCAATGCAGGTGTGTCGATATTATCATGAGTATCTCTCCAGTCTGACCGGTGTTCGAATTTGTAGCCTGGAATGCTTTTATTGCGGCTACCTGCACCAACGCCACAGTCCGCTCGCAGCTTCTGGACGCAATCTGGAATCACGCGTCGGACAACGGGACGTCGACTCCATTCAGCGCGGTGTACAATGTCGAAAGTGGTGCCTACGGGAACGGAACAATGAGGTTCGTTTTGTCATCACTGTTCCCGAGCGCTACCATCTGATTCGCAATATAGCCCCGCACTAGGAGGACTCTTCGCCCCGATCCTGCGCAGGTGAGATTGCAACATACCGTTCTCATAGTAATGCTAAATTGGACTAACCGCAATACCGGCAATGTCTCTGCATTGCCCAGTCACTCCAGCAACCCGGCGACGAAGGGCGCTTCTGGCAGTGGCTCGGTCGATGTTGGCGCGATAACAGGCGGTGTCGTCGGTGGTGTAGTCGCTTTGCTTGCGCTCATCGGGCTCGCATTATGGGTGCTGCGACGACGACGACAGAATGTTTCCCTCCTCGATACGACTGGCGCAAGAACAGAGCCAACGCCCTTCGAGTCTGAGCTCGGTTTCGCGCACAACAGACTTGCTGTCGTGCTCTTGGAGAAGCAGCGACAGGAGCTACTGAAGGAAGGAGTACCTCTGTTGCCTTCGATGGGCTTGTCGTCCGCCGTGGTCGACGAGCCACCGTCTGGGAGCATGACGGACCCTTTGACGACGAGCAATGAATTGGCCAGGTCGCGTCAAAACGAGTTATTGGGATTGCGGTCATCATTTGAGGATTTGCGTATGCTCGTGATGAGTATGCGCATCGAGAGACCAGAGCCTTCGGACCTGGGTGCACCACCTGAGTATTCATGACTGGCAGTCGTGATTCCTTTCGTGCATAGTGTGTTTACATACCAATGAAAGTTGCTTGCTTTTGTGCGCCCAGCACTGTCTTGCCATTGTCCATTCTATAGCTTCGTGACACCATCGTTGTGATTCCTCTGTGCGCAGAGAGCGGCTCGTGAGGCGCTACACGTTGCATAAGGTTGAATGCGAACATCGTATGTCGACTGAAGGCTTTCATATATGGTACGGAAGCATACGGAAGTACACTAGCCGGATGGTCACCAGATAAAATAGGCCTTAGGCGTCTCCTGCCTTAGTGCGGGATAGTGATCGCTGTCTCAAGAACTGCTAACAGGCAAGAGGGAAGACCACAGGACATAATCAAAAATCATGAGAGATGAGAGCGAAGGATGGATAAACTGAACAAGGGAATGAGAGAGACTGTAGGGCCACTTGGGCTATACAAGCAGCTGCAGGAAACAATCAATAGACGAAAGGGATCAACCGGTAAGGAACCCTCTTCGCGTATTCCTCCCACTCCTTGCCAAAGTGTTTCTTCAGCATTGCGTCCTCCCTCGATGTGCGCAATAGGATCGACACGTTGAGGAACGCACAGAGCCCTATATGCAACATTCCGATCGCTCGCCCAACCTGTGTCTGCAAGATGCCGCACTCCTCCGCCCACGAACCTTGAGCGATCTGCATCAGGCTGATGCTGGTTGCAGCCACGGCTGCAGCAGTGTAGCTGGGGTGGCGCACGTAGCTGTACGGGCCGCCCGTCACAAGCTGTTGCTCGTCCCGGACGGCGAGCTCAAGGGTGAATGAGCGGTCGAGCGCGCGATAGCACTGATATCGTATGTAGGTGCCGAGCATTCCCAAGCCCCAGCACACTAGGACGGGGCGGGAAAGGGTAATCCGCTCCGTGAGTGCGAAGGGTCCATCGACCAGGGTGCGCAAGACCAACTGGGAGAGGCGATGCGAGGGATATTTGCTAGCGAGGATGACCGCTATCTCGAGGAGAAGCGGTGCAGACGTTGTTATCTGGACGCAGACAAGCAGTCAACATGGCAACTTGTGGTCCATTCTTGAGACACGGAGATGGGGCAAGCCACACACCTTTACCAACTTGGTAGCTGCATATGCAGTGGCTGAAAAGAAACGTTCATATAGACCGACATGTCTCGGGCGTTTCTGCACGTCGACCTTCGGCTGTGGTGGCGACGAGAGGATATGACCAGCCGCTAAACCGGAGCAGAGAAATGGTAGTTTGGCTAGGGACATGGTGTTGTCGTCTCCTGTGTTCGCGATTGGAGCGTGAGGTAGGGTCAGGTAAACCGTACGAGGATACAGAGGGTCAAGCAAGCAAGCTGAGGTCGGGGAGAGCGCATTATATAACAAACTATCATTGACGCCAAAGTCGCAACATATTAGCCTACAAATAATAAAGGGTCTTGAAGAGCATCACCCCTCAATATCCTTCATGGTTAGCGTGAAGGCATCAGCTGAGAGCTTGAAGCGCGAGGGCGGCTGATCTGATGACACGAATTTGCTCTTCAGCGACCTTTAGACGGGTATTACAGCCACGTAGCTGCAAAGGGTCTTAGGACGACAGCAGCCTAGAAACACAGGGGACTTCAAACGCGTACCCGGCTTCGAATTGGCCCGCCCGCGTCAAAAGACGTAGGGTACTAGCCTATATGGCACTCGTCTGGCGTATGCCTCCCACTCTTCCCCGAACTCCCTCCGCAACATTTCATCTTCCGTAGGCGCACGCACCGTCAAACCTACGGTGCCGTACAAGATGTACAGGGCACAAAACGCAAACGCCGTTCGTCCCCACTGCGTCTCCAGCAGCCCAGACTCGCGGAACCACGAGCCGCGCGTGACGGACATAAGGCAGACACCAACGCTGCCGACCGACCAAGCGGTGTAGCTCGGATGGCGCACGTAGCGATAAGGGCCTTCGGTAACAAGTTTGTGGCCCCTGTGGACGGCGAGCTCGAGCGTGAAGAAGCGACCGAGCGTGCGGTAGCACCGGTAGCGGAGTGCACCGCCCGCGACACCGATCGCGCAGGCTGCGAGGAAGGTCGGCGACAGGACGAGGCGTTGAACGAGGCCTGGTTTGTTGGATGCAAGGACGCGGAGGATCCACCGCGAAACCGTGTGTGAGGGAAAGCGATTTCCGAGTATCACGGCTGCTTCGACCAGCAAAGGTATTGATGTGCAGACCTTTTGTGCGTACAAGTCAGCGAATGGACTGAAGAGAGAACAACGAGAGCCCCAGAGAGGGAGAAATGACTACGTACCTTTATGATCTCAACGTTCATGCGAGCAGAGGTCGACAGGTATCGTTCATGCAACCCGACATCCTTGGCTCGTTCAGTTGCGAGAACCCGAGCTTGCGGAGGCGTCTGGATGATATACGTCGTGATCAAGCCCGAACATAAGAGAGGGAGCTTAGCCAAGGACATGATGCGCCTACCCGTCGAGAGATGGGGTAAGTGCCGAAGGGACGCCCGTTGTATCCGTCCGTACCCGGCCACTACTACTAGATAAGCAGGCGAAAACGGCTGCGAAGGAATTTGCCATCCGGTCGGGGAAGGTGTCAGGCAGGCACATTTTCGGCTAAGGTGTTGCATTGTTAGCGATGTCACATTCGCATAGAGCTAATAATTAGTTGGTCCACATATGGGCACCCAGGGTATAACGTTCCATTGAAGCTGTCAAACAAATACGTCGGAATGCTGGCTTTGCTTATTGAATGGAAGCCAATACCGGGCGAGGATGCGACCCCACTATCTCGCAACGAGCACACTAAAGGAGTGGATACATACATCTACAGGCCAGCATGAGCCAGGACGAGATGTCTCGGAAAGCAGAGCATACCGAAGTCTGGCTTAATGCGCTGTACTCGACGGTGGCTCCCAATTGTCAAACTTCCAGCCGTCACTTGACTCGCCCTCCTCAAGCGCGGTGCCCTTCCAGACTTCATTCGCAGAAGACCACTTCTTTGAATGGGTGGGCGACCACGTTCGAGACTTCCGCTGCTTTTCGATCCTCCGTGGGCCCGTGGGCTGGGAAACAAGCTGCTCTATTCGGGCAACCATGTCCCAGACCTCCCCGCTGCCAATAGTCGACTCCTCATGCCACATATTGCGCTCGCCGACCTCCCGTCGAATCTTCTCCGCGAGTGTCAGCGTCCGGCCGTCCACCTCGACGCCATTCACTCGCATCTCCTCGAGCGCCTCGCAGGCGCCTCGCAGGTCGCGGAAACATCGCCAGCGCGTCTCGATAAGTTCGTTGTACACTGGCGTCGTGCAGCCAAACACGAAAGAGACGACTGACAGATGTCGTGCATGGTCGAAGATCGACAGCGCAAGATGTGGGTCGTCGTACTTCTCGCGGAAGGTCTGCATGAGGAGGGCTATCGTCTGTGGGTACCACGGTGGCTGCAGCTGTGCCGGTCGCTTAGAGGTAGAGGGGTCCTCGGATGCCTTCCTCGCGTTTTCCTCGCAGCGCGTGGACTCGTCGAAGACCTCGCGCATCGCCCACTCCAGCAGTTGCTGGTCCGTGTCGCACAGCTCCATCGCTTCCTTCTTCTTGTCCAGCTCCTCGTCTGCCTCGCTCGTCCATCGCAAGTGCTTCGACTGCCGCCGCAGCTTCCCGAACAGGTCACTCATCTGCTGCGACCGGGCCCGCCCGATGCCTACAGACGTAGATGAACGCGCGCTGACGTCGGGTCGCTTAGAGTCTTTTGAGGGGGGTTTGGACACTGCGTCGAAGATCATGTTGAACATTTGGTCGAAGGCATTAACTTCGCGTGCGGTCATGGCCTGCTTGCGCGGTGAACGGGCTGGTAGCGGGGAAGAGGTTTGCGGCCTCCGCGCAGAGCCAGGATGGAGAACAGGCGAATCTTCCTCGATATTCTCAAAGACCTTGTCCCACGGTGATTCACTTTCAGAGAATATGGACCCATCACTGGTTATGAACGCGATTCAGAAGCATTCGTGTCTCATGATATTGTGCGTTACCTCGATTGTTTTGAGTACTGTCTGGCATGGCCACGTAGAGATACGAGGTGATCAGAGCCCCAAAAGTGCGGTTTTATTCGTTTGAAGCAGCTCTGAGCCAGCATCGTGCAAAGCAGAGTGGGAGCGCAAGTCAACCGTGAAGGGAGCGGAACCGGAGCGGAAGAACGAAAGCGTCGAATGGTGAAAGTTAAACGTTAGGCGCCCTGGCTGTGGCCCGTGGGGTGCCCGGCGCTTGTTCGAACACGAGAGCACGTGTCTTGAATATAGGCGCTGGGTTGTAAAATGTTGAACACTGGGGGCAAAATGCGATGTTCTGGGCAGGAATATGCTGAGGGCATGTGATGATTAGCTAAAGAATCCTGATGATATTTCGCACAAGGATATTGTGGGTACTGCTTAAGTAATCCTAAGATACACGGAGGCGGAACATGGTACGATATAATACAAATGTTTGCTGCCCAGATATGGGTCACGTAATATGCTCCGCTCAAGTATGTCGAGAGCAGGCTACATGTTCTTTGCATAGTTTTCTCGAACTAATTGTAAGACGATGATAGCTTTCCTGACCCAGGACATGCATGAGTCAGGGAAGGACTAATTTATATGTACTCGTTCAGAATACTCAGATAATATACAAACTTTCCGGACCCGGTACATGACGACCGCGATCTCGACCGCGACATCGACCGCGATCTCGACCGCGACATCGACCGCGATCTCGACCGCGACACCGACCGCGACGCCGACCGCGATCTCGACCGCGACACCGACCGCGATCTCGACCGCGACGTCGACCGCGATCCCGACAACGACCGCGACGTTGACAACGATCTCGACAACGACCGCGACGTTGACAACGATCTCGACCGCGACGTCGACCGCGATCCCGACAACGATCTTGAACGCTACGTCGAACACAGTGTCGACCACATAGAAAACGAATCAGCGATCTCGACAACGATCTCAACAGCGACGTCGCCAGTGGACGCGATACCAACTACGACATGTATTGACATCCACAGCGATCTTGACAATCAGCTCGATACCGACTAGCGGCCACTAATGGCAAAAGCTATTTAGACCTAATTTCGGCAACATGACCACCGACACAGCGGGTTGAGAACGACTATATAATACACTACCGTCTACTATATGTAAAACCTACCGCATTGAAAATGACCACTTCACCGAAACCAGCTTCGCGTCCATCTGCAGGTCAAAGTTGCTCGTCGCCTCGCCCTATAACGATCGACATCAGCGCCCTAACTCCTGTACGAGCACGGCGGAACCGAGACCGACGAGGATGATGATGCGGCTGTTCTTCGCCAATGCCCGACAGAGCGCCAACATCACGTTCTCGCCAGCGGAGTAGTCGCCCCCCTCGGCGCCGACGAGAGCCTCTGCTGCGGCGTCATGCACCTCGTGCTTCGGCAGCAGCCACGTCCGCTGGAGGAGAGATCAATTCCACATCCGTGCGGGTGCCCTCTGGATCTCTGCGGGAATTGAGTACGTTGTCTTGTGGGACGAGAGCAAGGCAGCTGCGCACGCTGTGTCTTCAACCCGATATTGCACGTGTCCACGCCGTCGATCTCCAGGCGACGTTGACTGTGCTGCATTGGGGAAAACGTCAATCCGAGGAGGCCCGCCGCACGAAGAGCAACGTACCGGAACAGCACCTACATGAGCGAGTACTTTCCTGCGCCTGGGCGACCTACAATGCCGATCTAGCCGACAGGATGAGCACGAAGGAATGGATCATCGAAGATGCACGTACCTTCTCCCCTGGGCGCACGGCGAAGCTCACTTGCTTCAGGACGAGCGGAAGACCTCCGTGGTCGACATCCTTGAAATCGATGCCTTCTCTGGCGATGAGACGGGCGTGTCGTTCGCCTTCATGCAGTCTCCGTCAGACGGCAGATCGGTGTAGTACGTGCCAAACAGCTCGTCGTCGACCACTGTCGCGGAGAGCATGACACTGACGTCGAGCGCGAGCGCGCGGAGGGCAAGGGCGCAGAGGCACAGCACGACCGCCAGGGTGATGGGGAAGGCGAGCGGGAGCCCGAACGGCCGCGGGAGTCAGAGCGGGATCAAGAGAAGTCAGTGCCGATGCTGAACAACGTGGCCTTCACATACGCTCTTTGAAAGTGTGCCACCGTGTCCATGAGCATCGACCCGGAACGACCTACACGCTTCACCAGCCTATCCTCGACAGACTGCAGCTCCGGAATGGAAGCACGCCGACCTGAACCACGGGTGCGAGCACGCCCGCGGCTAGGTAAGGAATTCTCTGCGCCTGTATGGGAGCTCGCGGAGGAGGTGGCAGCCGAGCGTAACGGGTCATCCGACGTGAGGATTGATACAAGAGGGCGGGGATGACACGAGTGTCTTATCGACTCGGGCTCAGTGTGGAGGGAGAGCAGGATGGGTGATAAAGACTGAGAGGGCGCCTTGAAGGAATGCAGGGAGGAGGAAGGCGTCGTCAGAGCAGTCGACGCCAAGCTGCCGCTGCCGAAGGAGAACCAAGAATTGGAATGGGTGATGGTGAATGCAGACGTGGAGATGGCCGACCCGCTGCTAGGTACGGACGATGAGGATCGCATGCTGAGCAAGCACGGACACATCCACGTCCTTTGGCTCCCGCCTGCATGCTTGCCTGCTTCGACCTCGCGCCTTCTCCTTGGCGAAGAGCTCTCGCTGTGCTCGGGTCCTACGAGCCTGCGATCGAAGGGTGGGTGCCTCGTCCATCGGGAAGAGTGGGCCGCGCATGCTTGTTACCATCTCGGCGAACCGCACCGTGCGGCTGAGACTCTGCGCGAACTCGTACTGGAGGGAAGAGAGGCACGCATTGCTCAATCTGTACGATGTCGACCTTGCTCGGGCTGATCGCCTTGCTGAACCTGGCCGTGAATCGCGCGATGTCGAGGACGAGGATGTTGCTGAGCAGGTCGAGCGGAGCGCTCAGCGCTCAGCCACTGCTGGATCGCGATGACCGTGTAGTAGACCCTGTTCTCCACGTCGAGGCCGTCTTCCGTCTTCCGAATGAATCTGCCCTGCACGGGCATAAGTTCCCGGGTACGACTGCATCGTTACGATGCGATACTCACCTCTTCTCCGTATGCATGGACGGTGCTAATGCCACTCAGCAATTCTGCGCGTATCATTCTGAGCGAGGGAAGAGTGGGGATACTGATGCAGCGTACCTGCATCAGCTCGGGTTGCGCTTCTTCGGGCTCCTTGCTTGCGCCGAGTACAGTGGACTCGTCGACCACTACTCACAGCTAATCGCCACAAACCGTAGTGTGTGATATCCGCGCGGCCGAGGCGATCGCTTGTATGTCATCTCCGCCTTGAGCACGCCCTGCATCTCACACGCGAACCGGGTCGTCCCGCGCTCTACCCTACTGCTCACTGCATCCAGCGCACGCAGGCGACGGATTGCAGCAGTGAGAAGTGCACAGACAAACACCCTGGAAAACTGTGTCACAGCGAGTAGGTTCGCTCTACCGCTCATCAAGAGCGGGAGCTCACCATCCGGTCATCAACGCATGGTCGAAACCAAAACGGACGACCGGAGCGAGACGGGGGCGACGGACGGGCGGGCGAGGCGTGGAGCCAACGACTCATGTAGACTTGGACCTCGACGCGGAGGAAGAACCAGATCGTTTCGTCCTGCGTTGCCAACGCAAGACGAAACGATCTGGGTCAAGCATAGCAATGCCCCCGTATACGGGGGCTGCAGTTCGGATATCTTCGCGGCAAGCGATGTCTTCGCCAGCGCATCCGGCGCGGCAAGTACATGGTAAGGGGCTTGCTGTCCGTCGAGGAAAACGAGTTACTATCGAATGAAAGATTTCATTTCACACCGCGCACCTCTTCTTCGCGCCCGGGCGTAGCCCTCCTACGGTACCGCTCCACCGGATGCACGACTTGGAGCTCGCCGCCCTTTGTCTCTGTTGCTTTGCTGCGACACAGACGCACCCGCTACGCTGCGATCGCTGAGACTGACCCGCGCTGCCAGCACAATCCCGTCCACGGTCGAGGGCGTGAAACGGAGGTTGTCGTCGTCTTGGACCTGTAGGTCGATTTCGGGTGGCGGTGAATCCGCCATCGGCGACAGTCTCCTGCATATAGGTCAGCTTTGCGTTAGAACACGCAACGCACTTACAGATCCACGCTTAGAAGCGATATCCTGCCAACGTGCCGCAGGGATTCGTCGCGCCGACGCCCCATGTCGACTCCCATGTCGACCTGGCGGACGTCCTCGCGGGCTAAGCCGCCGTGCTTCAACCCGCCAGCTGGCGGGTCCCTTCGTTCCGGGCGGGCATCAGACGATCAACGACGGCGGGCCTGCGACGGAGCAGCTGCTGCTGCGGGGTGGTGCGGGGTGGTGGGGGTGGTGAGCGTTGAGCGCCGCCGCATGTAGCACGACGGGCTGCAGGTCGTCGGGCTGAGGTCGAGGGGCGTGAGAGGATGACGTAAGTCGTCATTAGCGCCGCGACGTCCTTCAGTTATGTCGAATTCGAAACCATATCGACACCCCGAGTCGCACGCGGGCGCGACTCGGGGGCACTCATGGAGTCGGTGAACGAGTAAGATTAGAGAACAAGACACTTTACAGAATTTTACAACGGCAGAGGCGGCGGAATAAACTTTGCATAGATGACGATCTTTTTCTCGCCATTGATCGTAATAATCCTCGCCGTGCAATTGGGCTCGCACGAGTGATTGATCACTGGCAGGCGACTGCGATAGCACAGTGAGTAAACTCGATTATATGGCACCGCAAACATCCACATACCCACTACCAATTCTTCGTCGATATGGAACAAGTAGCTGCTGCCAATACCCTGGCGCTCGTACGCTTTCTCGCGCTTGTCGGCGACCTGTGCACGGATGATCTCGCCGACATACTCGATGACCATCTCCCTGCGCGAGATCTTCTCCATGGCGTACAAGCCCCAATCGTGGATAGGCGATCGCGCGAAGCGCAAGTGCTTCTTCCGCGTCTGCAGCTGATTGAACTTGATGAGCTCCGTCGCGGCCGACTCGCCCTTCGACAGCGCCATCGCACGTTGGACCTGGTTGATCTCTTCAAGACCTTGTGCACGTCGACGCGCGTTAGCACGATTGGTTCGCGAGGAAGTGATGTTCTGTTGAGCCGGCTGCTCCTTCTCGGGCCCCCTTTCGTTGACCGTACTGCGAGACGCGTATTGGGCTACATACGCAGACTTCTCGGCATGTGAGATCTTGTAGTAGCCCTCCGTACGAGCGGAGCCAGTGACATGAACTCGAAAGGGAGGCGGTGCGCCAGGGTCGGGCGCAGGTACAGATGAAGGCTCAAGCTCGGATTCATCGATACCTATTTCTCGCGCTAGGGCAAGCTTTGCGAAGTACAAATCCTCGTCGTCATCGCAGATGCCTTGTGCGAAGGGGTCCTGGAGTACCAGCTCGCGAGTGGAGACAGAGAGCTTCTTCCAAGTGGGCGATGCAGGAGGGGACGCTGAAGAGTCGAAGTGTGGCGTAGGCGTTACTCTGACTTGCGCGACCTCTGGTACATCGAAATCGAAATCGTCGGGCAGGACTTCGTGAACAACCTCCTGGACGACGGCCGGGACCTGGGCCTTCTTTGTCGCCTTCTTCGATGTCTTCTTCGTCTTCTTCGGAACAGGTACTGAACCAACGACGTCGCCTAGCTCGTTCAGCTGGGGCTGCGTCTTGAGCCGCTTCCTGACAGGCTCCTCAACATCGGTGACCTCAGACGTGGACCGTTTCCGTGTGACATCCGGCAGTATGGGAGTGACCGGAAGGGAGAGGTCCTCATCTTCTGACTCGACGTCTTCGCTGACGACTGCCTTGGCTATGGTCACTGGGACAGTCTCGGGCACCTCATCCTCCGACTCGATATCCTCGTTAGAGACCTTCTTGGTCACGGCCTTCTTGAGTCGCTTCCTCGGTCTTTCAACCACAGCTTCCTCCGCGAGAGACTCGATGTGTGACTGACCGAATCACTGTAAACTCTGGCTCCAGCTGCGGTGTTGCCAGTATAGGCGTGTCGCGCTCCTCCCAAGGTCGCTTCCGTTGCTTCTTGAACGACAACCCGCGAAGACCAGCACCCCACTGCTTCGCTTCCTGCTCACCATCCGGCGCCCTAGCCACCTGTCTTGCCCTTTCGGACAGAACGAGCCTTTGAACACCGGTGCTGACTACTTTGTCCAAGAGGTCCTTCTCAAGTGTCGTTCTGAGTATCGTTCTGAGCTCCTTGATGACCAGACTCGCCGCCTCGTCAACCAGCTCGCTGTCCGTCCAACGCTTCCGTGCAGGTGCAGACGGCGGAGCTGGAGCAGGGTGAACTGTCACATTCACCGACCGCGACGCGAGAGTATGGGAACCGTGGTTGAGCACCATCGCTGCACGCCGTGCGGAATCGCTCGTCTCGAAGGTGACATACCAGCCCAATCGGTCTCTGAGGATCTGGGCAGAGCCACCGTGATCAGCGCGCACTGCAGACGGAGAAGGACGCGGAAGCAACGCGGGAAGCGTGCAAGCGCCCAGCACTGGCGACTCACCTTGTCAACGTTAATGGCGGTTGTGCAGTGATCCCGTACTTGCTGACCGACATGAGTCGGGCGCGAAACGTCGGGGGAGCAGTCTTGCGTACGGGCACAGGTGGTGCTCCCCTTGGACCAGTCGGAATACCGTTTAGATGGGCATTGGCAGGAGACGCGCCAGGCACGTCTGAGGGCGTAGCGACTGGCTTCGGAGGTAGCTTGGCACGAGCAGGCGCAGGTCGCATTGTTCCACCCTTCTGCCATGGAGCAGGCAGGCGAGAAGAGTGAACCGAACCTATAGGTGTGTGCGCCGCTGTAGTGGACGGCGTTCCCCTGGCAGAATTCGCCTCCTTTGCCTTCTCTTCCCTCTCTTTCCGCCTCTTGTCCTCTTGGGCCGTGCGCTTCCGCGCTGACGTGACCGAAAAGAACACAAAAGCCACACAAAAACCCAACCGTGAGGTCGAGCAGTGGTATGCGAGGCCTCTGAGTCTATGAGATGTACGGGGGACTGTACAGTGGTCTAGGTAAGAAGGAGGAGGACGGACAAGACCCGAACGACGTGGGAGAGCTTCGAAGATGTCGAAGACTGTTCGAAGGCGAGGGCTAAGCCTCGAAGGTAGGAAGGAGGGTTTCGACAGACGTGTCGAACGAACGGTGACAAGGAAGGCGAGCGACGGCAGGAGAAGAAGTGTAGAGCCTCTCGGGGCAACTACTAGCTGGCGAACGTACTGGCGAACTGACTGACTGACTGGCTTCGAACGTACCGGCTGACTGGCGAACTTGCTGACTTTCGAACGTACTGGCTGACTGACGAACCTCGCCGGTGCGAGGTGAGATTGAGAGGGTAAGGGGGTCTCTCAGATTCGAAGGGAACCAGTCCCAGAGTATATACAGGGAAACACGGCTATTACCACTACGGAGCTCCGACGGCCCCAAACATCCGGCTATGGCTTCTAACACGTGACAACTGCTCTCGGGCTCGCTAACCAGTGGTCCGAAGGCCGACCGGCTATCACATGACGCCGGAAACCGAGACCACTCGTCGAGGATGTGAGACGACCTGCAAGGACTCACTGGACATCCTGTAGCATCCTATGGTCTCGCAGGAGATCTTCTAACACCGTAGCACGTCTTCTAACATGTTCGAGTGTCTTCTAACACATAGTGTATCTTCGAGTGACCTGCGTGCTCTGGGGTCGTCTAGATAGGTGGGTAGGTGCTCCTATAGCGTCACTGAGGTGCCGGAAGGTCGCGGATAGTCTTCTAAGGTGAGCCAGGGTTGGCTACGAACTTCGCAATCTTCGAACAGTTGTAGTGGATCTTCTAAGAGCTTCGGAGCATCGTAGAGGCCTAGATTGCGTTTTCGGGGCTTAGATAGCCTAGAGGCGTATCATCTCCCCCTTACTGAAATCCTGACCGTCCTCGGTCAGCGGGGATAGCCAATGAAGGGTGCTTGTTCCGTAGAGGACCTCCAGGGTCGGTAGAAGGCGAGGGATGGTTGAAAATGGAGGTAGGACGTGAACTAAGGATTGCTTGGGTGGTATCATTGCCCCCTACGGCGGGAACAGCTCGTCTAGCACCGTAGAAGACCCTAGCTGTCTTCGTACAAAACACTGTCTGCATCCAGCTTGTCAAATGCATCTTCGAAGTGTTCGGAGGCTCCTAGGGACATCGTAGACTCCTTCTCCTTCTCTCTAGCCAGCGGTACACTGTGACGTGCGTGGCTGCGTGATTGAACGACCAATGGGCCGTGATAGCGAGGTCTCGTCTTCGCATTGGGTGACTGCCTGACTGACATGTTCGGAGCTTGCGCTAGGTCGTCTCGAAGGAAGTCGAGGTCCCTGACTGTCTCGTAACGCTCAGGCTCAACCCCGAGGTGCAGCGGGCATCTTCGCAAGGTATTCACTCTACGAACGATTAGGTTTGTTGGGTCTGGGGCCATGTCGGGTGGTAGGACTAGGTACGTGTCTTCGAACGTTCGGAGTTGTTGTTCATGCACTCCACGTCGATCCCATGGCCATAGATTGTCTCCAAAAGCGAAAAACAGTGCGGCAGTGACGAACAGCACCGCACACATGTAGAAGACTCTCGACACGTGTTTGGGTGGACCTGCTGGTTGCGAGAGCAATAGGGTATGTTCGACGTCTTCGAGGTGTGGGTCTAGCTTTCGAGGCGTGTCTGGTGATGGTACTACCAAGTGGTTGTGGTGATCCTCCCCCTTACTGAAATTGTGACCGTCCTCGGTCAGCGCAGAGATAGATACAAGAGACGGGCGGGGCGGGGAGGGAAGCATGGGCTGCTCGTCATGCTCGGGCAACATAGTAGCCAGTGGAGGTGACAGGCCATCCATCGTAGGAGTGTTCGAAGATTTTGGCGGTAGCACAGCGCACGGTAACTTCGAAGACGTAGGAGCAGAGTCTGGTAACATCGAAGGAGTGGGGGTAGACATCATAGGAGGATCCAAAGGCGTTGTAGTTGCAGAAAGATAGTCCGAACTTTTCGGAGCGTAAGCATAAGCATCCAATGATTTCGGAGGCATAGCAGGAAGGTCGGAAGGTTCCGGAGATGGGAGGGGACAGTTCGACGATTCTAGAAATGGCATAAGAGGCTTCGAAGATTTCGTAGACCTGGGATGGTGGTCTGACAATCTCAGAGATGTAGCTCGAAAGTTCGAAGATTCTTGAGATGTAGGAGCGTGGTGTTGCAATTCTGAAGGGATAGAAGGGGTGTCAAACATCGTAGGAGTGTTCAAGGATTCCATCAGCGTAGAGAGATTGTTCGAAGACATCTGTTGATAGTCCAAAAATCTCGGAGACATGGCTTGACCGTTCGAAGATTTCGGAGACGTAGGGGCATGATCTGGCCATTTCGGAGAGATAGGAGGAGTGTCCAATGTCGTAGGAGCACTCAAAGATTCCGTCGACATGGGGAGATCACCGTTCAAAGGCTTCAAAGACATAGGTCGATAGTCCGAACATTTCGGAGGTGCAGGTTGGTCATCTGACAATCTCGGAGACGTAGGTCGACTGTCCGAAGATTTCGAAGATGTAGGTCGTATGTCTGAAGACTTCGAAGACGTAGGAGTCTCTTCTAACGTAAGGCTGCCCTCCGGAAGGTCCCCTAACACGGTGACAGCTGGGGAAGTGTCTTCGATCATAAGGCTGTAGTTCGAAAGTGGTTCCATAGCTGCAGTGTTTGTAGACGCCTGGTTCGTCTTGCGCTCCGCCGTCCGAGGCGTCAGTGCTGCCCAGTATCGGTCGCGAAGGTACGAAGGCAATTTTCGAAGCTCCTCAGATGTCAATGGTACACACGGAGTGTTCGATGAGGACTCGACAGCCAGTTCGGCAAGCTGGGGCGGGGGCTGTGCTATAAAGAAGCTGGCTCGGCTCTGTCGCTTCGTGGGAGATGCTTCGAAATTTCGAGGGCTCGCTTCGAACTTCGTAGGGGTCGCTTCGAAACGTTGGGTGGGAGGAGGTGCGTAGGTCATGTCTCGAACATTTGCAGATGGGAAAGCGGGACTCTCGGTGTCGATGGTAGGTCGGACGACTGGCGCAGGCGCTGGGGTACTTGGTCTCGTCTTCGAACATGGCAGGCGGTTTGGGGCTCGCTCCGAAAACTTCGAACACGTCATGGGTAGTAGTGGTTGATCAGCCAGGTGGGTGTTCGAGCGTAGGGGATGCTTCTCGATGACAACTCGGTCGACAACGGTCTGCTTACGCTGTTCCCAAGCGTAGATCTCCGTCAACCGTGATAGCTGGGTGTCCATGCAGGCTAGCATCTCTCCAATGTCGAGGGCATGCGTAGGGATAGGCGGACTCTCGACTGCTTCATAGAGCAACTGCGTGGCTGTAGCGCCTTGCATAGCACTGCCTGAACCACTCGAAGACGACGAACTGAGTCCTAACTTGCTCGAACGACGTGCATGTTCGTAGATAGCGTCTCGGAGGGTCTCGCTGTCTCGGCGACTCATGAAGCGGTTGTCGAACGAGACGATCTTGCCATCGGGGTTCCGTCGACACAGGCCCTTCTTCCTGTCTTCTTCGAACATCTCGCAGTCACCGATCCAACATCCCGAACGTCCGCAATAGAAGCACCGAGGGCTGTCACGACTGTTCGAGAATTCAGGTGACCGGCTGTGAGACTGCTGGGCCTCGAGGGTCTTGATCAGCGTCTGTAGCAATGGTAGAGGTCTTCGGACTTCGTGGTCACAGGTGGGGATGGCAGGATAGACGCAGCGGGTGTGGTCGTAGGCATAGGGGGACGAGCTTGCCGAAAGGTCGAAGCTGGTGTAGGACCATCTAACACCCACTGTGCTGACTCGTAGATCTCTGCGAACGTCCAGGGCTTCCTTCGAGAGCGGTCAGGGTTCCGCATGAACAGGCGCTGCTCGATGGGACCCCAGAGCGTATTCGGAAAGCCTTGCTGGAACTTCCGATCTTGTTCGAGTGTCGAAAGCGAACCTCGAGCGATCAGGTACTCCGAAATCATGTAGAAGTCGCGGTAGTAGGCAGCGAGGTGGAGGGCATTGGTCATCCCGAGTTCTATGCGATCATGGACGACCGTGTCGAGATCAGCGAGCGAGTACTTGTGCTCGTCATCAGCTCCAGGATAGAGTGCTCGTAGGGCGGTCACGAACTCCTCGTAGGGCTTCGTAGCATCCTTGAATGTTGGCTGCATCATCCATAGGTCGGAGACGCGGATAGGAGGGTAGCGAACTGCCCATGACTTCTTGTCGGAGTCGTCGGTAACTCGGCATCGTGCGAAGTGTGTTTCGAGGTCTTGGAAAAAGCGGTTGAATGAGAAAGGTTCTGACTCGTCAAGACAGGTGCAGTGGAGTGTCCGCGTGCAGGCATTGAAGCCGCCTTCGAGGCTGGTGCTCCTGCGTCGGCCATATTCGGACTCAGCTTCGAAGTGTTAGAAGGAGTTGGCGAAGCGATAGAAGGGATTGTTGAAATGTTCGAAGGTATTGTCGAAGTGTTCGAAGGGTTAGGGGTGTCGACGGTCGAAGTCCGTCGCGGCGCGGACTGCTCTGGTCCTGGAGGGACTGACGACACTCTACGACTGGTGGGTATGGGTAGACGTGAGGTGGAAGATCCTCTACGCGTGGTGACTGTGGCTGAGGTGGGTTCCTCTCCTTCGAGAGGTGGTGATGGTGTTAGAAGCGGTAGAGGGGATCCGAAGACTAGTGCCTCTAAGTCGTCTGCAAGCAAGAGTCTTCGAGCACGTCTGGAATGGGATGGGGTAGTAGGCACTTGGTCTCGAACGGAGCGTTCCGGATCGTCGTGATCGGGGACAAGCTCGACGTTTTCGGGCGAAGAGGGGATAGTCGAAGGTCCTGGGAGAGGGTTGCTATGCCTGCGAAAGGCGGCGGCTGATCGGGGACCTAGTCTACTGTCGATAGCGAGTGCGAGGAGAGGACTTTCGTAGTCTCGGTAGTCTTCAGGGTTGACTTCGAAGTTCCGACGCGGCGGAATCTTGCTCTATATCCCCCTCGCGGTGGGCTCCAAGATGACGTGACCGAAAAGAACACAAAAGCCACACAAAAACCCAACCGTGAGGTCGAGCAGTGGTATGCGAGGCCTCTGAGTCTATGAGATGTACGGGGGACTGTACAGTGGTCTAGGTAAGAAGGAGGAGGACGGACAAGACCCGAACGACGTGGGAGAGCTTCGAAGATGTCGAAGACTGTTCGAAGCGAGGGCTAAGCCTCGAAGGTAGGAGGAGGGTTTCGACAGACGTGTCGAACGAACGGTGACAAGGAAGGCGAGCGACGGCAGGAGAAGAAGTGTAGAGCCTCTCGGGGCAACTACAGCTGGCGAACGTACTGGCGAACTGACTGACTGACTGGCTTCGAACGTACGCTGACTGGCGAACTTGCTGACTTTCGAACGTACTGGCTGACTGACGAACCTCGCCGGTGCGAGGTGAGATTGAGAGGGTAAGGGGGTCTCTCAGATTCGAAGGGAACCAGTCCCAGAGTATATACAGGGAAACACGGCTATTACCACTACGGAGCTCCGACGGCCCCAAACATCCGGCTATGGCTTCTAACACGTGACAACTGCTCTCGGGCTCGCTAACCAGTGGTCCGAAGGCCGACCGGCTATCACATGACGCCGGAAACCGAGACCACTCGTCGAGGATGTGAGACGACCTGCAAGGACTCACTGGACATCCTGTAGCATCCTATGGTCTCGCAGGAGATCTTCTAACACCGTAGCACGTCTTCTAACATGTTCGAGTGTCTTCTAACACATAGTGTATCTTCGAGTGACCTGCGTGCTCTGGGGTCGTCTAGATAGGTGGGTAGGTGCTCCTATAGCGTCACTGAGGTGCCGGAAGGTCGCGGATAGTCTTCTAAGGTGAGCCAGGGTTGGCTACGAACTTCGCAATCTTCGAACAGTTGTAGTGGATCTTCTAAGAGCTTCGGAGCATCGTAGAGGCCTAGATTGCGTTTTCGGGGCTTAGATAGCCTAGAGGCGTATCAGCGCGTTGAGCTCCTTCAGGATCGCATGCAATTTCCTTCCCTCTCCATCCAGTACAACCGTCATCTCCTCGCTACCTCCAGCAACTCCGTTCAGAGCAGTTAGTTTCTTTCCATGCTCCTTCTCCACGCACTTCCGTGCCTCGGCGTGTGTACCGTATTTGATGTGCACTATTCCAATAGCAGCGCCAGACGTCTTGTCAACCTGCGGTTCAAATGAGGTGATCGTGCCGTGTATTGAGAAACACCGTCGAATGTGCACGTTCGGCGTGAGCGGGGAGAGTCCCAGCACCAACACAGCAGTGGGAAGGGGAGGTCCCGTCGAGTTCGCATCATGCTAGTAACGCCGTCAATCCACGCGTGACGCCTCAACAATCGACTCACGTACCTCATACTTGACAGGGACCAAATCCGTCCGCAACGGCCGCATCGTCTCCTTCCGCTTCACCTTCGCCTCCTTCCTCGGATCCCTCGCCACGGCCGGGTGTTCGCCCTCGATCACCTCGCCCTCATACCGAATCACAATCTCCTTCCCCTTCCCCTCCCTTTCACCCGCGCCTCTTCGCCCTGGTCCAAGTCCAGCTCGCGCAGCTTGTCTGCTAGCATCCGGATTTGGCCATCGAGGTCCTTGTCGACTACGTGGTCGAATAGCACCTTGTAATTCTTGCCTGGAGGGTACTCGGACTGCGCTGGTGGCCATGGTGGTAGGGGTGGAAGGGAGTAGACTTTCGTCTCTTCTGGGGGTGGCGGTGCTGATGACTGTGGCGGAAGAGGGGGTGCGGCAGCGTGCGCTCGGGGACCTGTAGGTAGAGGTCGTGATGATGAGTCTGCAGGAGAATATGGGACATGGTCTCGGGGCGCAGTCGGGGGCAATCGTGGAGGGACTTCTGAGGGCGGCGGTGGTGGTGGTTCGAATGTTGGAGGTAGTGGAGGTGGTAGTTCGAATGTTGGAGGTAATGGAGGTGACAGAGGTTTAGGAGCAGGTAAAGTCGGTGGTGGTGGTGGTGGTGGCGGCGGGGGGAGGTTCAGATGACGGTGGGGGGAGGTTCAGATGACGGTGGGGGTGGAGGGTCAGACGGCGGTGGTGGTGGTGGTGGTGGTGATTCGGATGGTGGAGGCGGCGGAGGTTCTAGGTCTGGTGGTGGCGGTGGTGTTGAGCTCGGCGGGGGAGGCGGTGGAGGCTCGGTCGTTGGCGGTGGTGGAGGTGGAGGTTCAGTCGTCGGTTGAGGAGGTGGTCGTCGTAGTCGAAAAGACACAGGCTGCGATCTATTGTTCGTCAGTCCGATGGCCTCGCCATTGACTGTGCTGGGCCCAGCGCCGTTTGTCTGAAGGCACATGCGCGTACGGCAGTCCTCGCTGGGTCGTCCCTGACAACGGTGACGGCGTGGTGTCGTGTATCGCGCTCGGACTAGCGTGGTTTGGCGGCGTGTCGACCTGTTTACCTTTCATCGAGCTCCTCGGGCCTGAAAGCGGCGAGGTCGTCGCAGGACCCGTTCCTCACGGCCGGGCATGGCCCTCCTACGGTACCGCTCCACGGACCGCGCGGCTTGGGGCTCGCCGAGCAGGTTCGCTCTACCGCTCATCAAGAGCGGGAGCTCACCATCCGGTCATCAACGCATGGTCGAAACCAAAACGGACGACCGGAGCGAGACGGGGGCGACGGACGGGCTGCAGTTGGGTACCTTCGCATGAAGCGTCGCCTTCGCCAGCGCATCCGGCGCGGCAAGTACGTGGTAAGGTGTTTGCTATCCATCGAGGGCGACAGCGTCCACAGTCGAGGGCGTGAAGCGGGGGTGGTCGTCGTCTTGGCCCTGTAGGTCGATTTCGGGTGGCGGCGAATCCGCCGTCGGCGACAGTCTCCTGCATATAGGTCAGCTTGGCGTTAGAACACGCAGAGAGAGCGCACTTACAGATCGCCCGCAAACAGGCGACATCCTGCCAACGTTCCGCAGGGATTCGTCGCGCCGACACCCTATGTCGACCCCCATGTCGACCTGGCGGACGTCCTCGCGGGCTAAGCCGCCGTGCTTCGACCCGCCAGCTGGCGGGTCCCTTCGTTCCGGGAGGGCTTCGGACGGACATTGACGGCGGCGCTGCGACGGAGCTGCAGCAGCTGCGGGATGGTGGACGCTGTGAGCGTTGAGCGCTGAGCGCCGCATATGTAGCACGAAGGGCTGCAGGTCGTCGGGCTGAGGTCGAGGGGCGTGAGAGGATGACGTAAGTCGTCATTAGCGCCGCGACGCCCTTATGTCGAATTCGAAAACATATCGACACCCCGAGTCGCGCGCGGAGGAGCTGCTTAGCGGGAGAAGAGCTACCGACATCGCGAGCTGGTGTTGTCTGTAGTTGTCCATTAGGTGTAACGGCGAAACATCCTGAGTAGAACAAAGAGCCGATGGGCGACGCGAGTAGTTCCGCTACTTCATTTATGTATGTGCGATGTCCAACCATGGTCGTTGACTCTTTATGCGTACATGCCGTGGGCACATCCCCCGCATCTATGTAGATAATTACTCAAAATAATGCGCGGCCGCCATTCGCTAGACCGGGAAGAACTCGTCAAAGGCGCTGCGCCCGAGGCCGGCACCAGAGTGACCATGGTCGCCCTCCGCACTCGCGGTTTCGCGCCCGTCGGATGATTCGTCTCCCAAGAGTCTAGCAATCAATGCGACGATATCCTCGAACGAGTGTGCTCTTATAGGTGCGCTCTTGACTTCTGCCCGGCACTCAGGGCACGTGTACGCTGGGTGGGGAGCTTCGCCCTGGTCCGCTGCGCTAACCCAACCAAACTTTAAGGTACATTCTGCCGCTTGTCAGGACAAAGGACATACATTATGTGGGCTTCGTTCTCCGATTGACTCTGGCGGTACATCGGATACCTTTGCCTGTACTCCGACAGAGTATATGCGAAGATTGCAAGGAGGCAAGATTGACAAGCAGAGTGTCCACACGGTAAACTACGTAAACGTTAGTGGTTGCGACAAAAAATGTGGTGAGGACATAACATACAGCCACGGCTTCAGCGACCTCTCCAGGCAGACCGGGCAAGACGTAGCTCGATCCAAGCGGACGGCATATTCCTTGCCAATGATGGGATAGATGAGGGCCGTTAGTAGGCAGCGACCACGGTCACGCATGACGCCAACCTTCCATTCTTTCACCACCGCTTCATAGCGGCCATTCTGATCTTGCAGGAGGTCGACATCCTGCGAGAGAATGAATGGGTACAGGTCGCTATGTAGGCTATTGCGAACTGACCGCATGTAGTTTCGCCACGGCGAAGTCTTGCTCTTGAAGCTGATGCTGTGATTTCTCCAGATCCTTCACCGCTTTGCTCGTCACTCTGGTAGTCTCACGTATACGCATTAGACTCACCATTTTCAATGCCACTAGTGTGGCGTCTCGACCCTGAACCTCATGGCCGAGGCGTTCAATTTCCTGGGTTTATAACCTCATTGCCGTGTGGCAGCTACGAAAATACAACGCTTCATACCATCTGGGTGCGCAATCAAAATTTGCTTGTTGAATCGGACATAGCAAACTCTACATACCCACATCCTTGTACTGACTTCCATAGCATTGCCGGCTTCGCTCTTTCTGAGCTCCAATTCCTTCAGACACATCAGCCCGGATCATATGCAAGAGACCGGGTACAACGAACACTCTATGAATGGTTGTTAGGGATGAGAGTCATTGGCGTATTGGTGTACTTACCTCCAATGCTGCGATTCGCCGTCGAGAGTTGTCGACTTGCATCTTCCAGCCTTCGATGTTCTGCACGCCGGGCTTCGTCACCAAAACGGTGGCGTTGATGGAGCCATTGAACCTACCAACTGTTGAGACACGATCAGTATGCCATAGTCCTCCGACAGGACCGACGCTTTACCTCGCTATCAGCCAGCAACTTCCTGCAATCGTCTAATGCGATCTGCAGAGATGTGACATCCTGGAACATATCAATGTAGCGCATGCTACAAGGGAACAGCAGCTTTCATCGCACCTGTGTATGTTCCAACCGCTCAAGGAAGCGACGGCGCGGTTATAACTACGGTGGCACGGGTAGTAAGACAGTACGTCACCTGTTTTGGTCCATTCCCCTGTTGCGGTTCAGTGTTGCGGTTTCTTTGTCGGCGGGGGACCAATGGTTTTGACATAGTACTACTCGCTATTGTCGTGGCCTTGATGAGTGGCTGAGGGTGCCTAGTGAGAGAAGGGTTGAGGGGGGTGCACAGGACGTACGACTGGATTGACCAGGTCCAAGGTTATCCGGTCATGAGTGCCGCATAGACATGCATTGTCCTAGTAGAACGAGGATCTGAGTGGCGGCTCGGGAGTCAAAAGCTCGTGACCAATTCTTCGGTCAATGCCGGCTTCATTGGGGCGAATTCAAGTAGTGAAAGTCGGAGCGGGGGCTACTGGCTGCACTGGTAAAAATGGTATAGAACGACGATCACTTACTGTCCATCAGGCCGCTATATATTACCACAAGCACGCATTCAGCGGCATACAGGGTGTTATGTGCATCTACTCATTGTGGACAGTCGCGTTCGCCGCGTTGATCGAGCGAACGAGCATAGATCTAAGCTACGTATCCAAGCGAGTCAGCGTGGATAGAACATTAATGGGTCTGTTTTGGAACGGCGAGGCTGGGAGGATAAAGTGACGACTCGCAAAGCGCGGTAACAGAGGACCCGAAATTTCCCTCCCGTGAGTTGCGTCCTCACGATCCTTCATGTGCATCCGAGCTTTCCCACTGCCTCGCTCCGTCGTCTCCCTCCTCGTCCCCAGATGATCCCAGGATGTCCTAGTAGTGTAATCAGCAGAGTAGCGCGGGCATCATCAGGATTGGAAAACTTGCCTGTGGAAGCGGCAACACGTGTACTAAGTTCGCCTGGCCATCGTATGCGTAGGGTGTTTTGGCAAATGAGCATATGAGGTCATCCATGGGTATCACTTCAGGCGGATCGTAATCGTCATGAAATAGTGACCCTGCTACGGCAAACCCGAATTCGCGATACGGGTCGATCGGTTTGAGGTCTGCCTCCAAGGACTTGTGACGCTGTACAACTAGTAGTATTTGCTCTTGCAGGTGGTGCGCAGCCGCTCCGTTCGGTCTAAAGATGCCGATGATCCTTGCGGGGCACATATCGCATCCGGCTTCATCAGAGACTTGCCGCATTATGATGTTCGAGTCTCGATGCGACTTTGAGAGTGGCTGATAAGATACCCCTTGGAGCCGTATCCTCGAGAACGCCGTGAGGCCTGCAGAATTATCAGAGCATGGCCAGTTTACGTTCACAAATGTCGCGCACCATGCAAAGTCGAAATCCCGGTATAGTTGTCCAATAGTCTCCGGATCGATTCCTCTACGATTAGTCTGCCACGCGACTCTTCGACTTGCAGGTGTGCTGAATCGCCAAGACCTAGAATATCGTTCAAGCGCGACCCACGATAATCCGATCGGAATGCTTTGTCAAATGCAGGTTTTAAGTCGGCGAGTTCGTCTGGAAGAGCACCGCTCGTCATGAGTGCTATGAGGTTGGCAGCACGACTGGCATGATACATGTATGTCATCTCGAGCTCTCCTATTTAGGCCGAAGTTACTAGGTAGGCTCGTCGACGTAATCATAGATGCAAATGGACTCACCATGCTTCTTGTTCGTTGGCATGTTCTGCAATGTAAAGTTCATCCTTTCGAACGCCCACGTTCGATAGGAGTGCGTTGGGCCCATGGCAGGGAGGAAGTCGGCGATATGCAATGCGAGATGATTAGTTGGTTTGACTGTTGCCTCCTTGTACAAGTCAATGAATCCGGCTACGTATGCCTTATAGTGGTAACGGTAGAGGTCAGCGAGACGTGCCGACGTGGAATGCATACGAGCAATCTGAACCGCGCAAACCAGGTGCATGAAGTTGGTGAGGAGCTGCTTCTTCCGGCCGGTCTCGTGGCCCCAGAGACGAGGTAGCGTGATGACGAGATGAATGGTACCGACTGCTCTCCATTGGTCCGCCTTTAATTTGCCTGTCTTGGAGCCGAACTTGGCTGGTCCAGGTGCTAGATGTGAAGGAAGGACTAAACGTTCTTGATCGCTCCAGATTTCAGAAAGCACGTCGGACCCAAGTACCACCGTGGCGGGCTCTTCGCCGCCTTTCGCCAGATTTCCATCTGCGTCTAGAAGTCCATTCCGGTCTCGCTGACAAGTACGGTACAAATGAGAATGTCTTCAACGTGCACCGCAGCATTCTGGACGTACCCACTGGTTGAGTCTATCTATGAGCTCATTCTTGTTTGATTGAGCGCCTCCCTCGTTTAGAACACGGATGTCTCTCCTTGCGCACAGCGCAAGGAGTTGGCCATGCCGCAACATAGACACATTGTTTCTTGTACGCAACGCATCCTCCGCATCCTTGACGTCCTGTTCGGTCACAGGTTGCCGTCGTCCTGTCAAAGACACGGGGAGATCCGGAATCGCTATGTGTCGAACAAACGGTTGTGGTCTGGCGACGTTTGTTGGGTCTTCTCCGTTAAGTAATGCAGCTTTGTGGTCGCCACCTATATCCTGTCGCTGAAAAGAGCAGCATGCGTGAGTAAAATCTTCCTATCATGCGTTAACACTAGCGACGAACCCATTTAACAAGGTGTCTAGCCAACATCAGTTTCGTTCCGGCTCGACGTAAATCTCTGTCATAGCACATACGCCACAACGATGGCCAATTCAGGCGCGCCAGCTGTTCAACGCTGCCTTTCCCTAAAGTCTGCATGCATTTCGCCCATACCGCTGGTTTTGCCTTGTCTTGACAGGTTGGTACTTTGAACCCAGGCGGCCGCTTCCCTAGCCCAGATGGTAGCTCCGTATCTGCGCCCCAAACGTCTCGCAGGAGGTCCTCAAGATCTCCCAGAAGATGTGCATGCATCGGATCGACGGCTACGAACCGCCTCGGGTCCCAATACGATAACCGGAGCAACTCGGTAAAGCGCAAACCTTCCGCCTGAAAAATGGCTTCCCTGACTGCCTCGCTCGGAGCATCGCGCCACTCCATCGCCCGCTGTCGATGCAGATCCAGATCCCTGACGGGCCATTGCGTCTCATCAAGTTCCTCTATCTGGTCCCTCGTGAGGAAGCAGAATGAGCACAGGTGGTTCCCGGACGATGACGGCAGACCTGCCACTTGGCGCGCAGCGAGCTGATCGCTAACAAGGGGGATAAGGAAACCATAGGAGAAACGGCCTTCCGGATGCAACGCAGTACGCGAGAAGTAAATTCCTGGGGACCAAAACTCCAGGAGGTCGTCAACGAGCAATCGCAGGAAATGATTGATTTGCTCCAATGATGGTTTTCCAGGCCCGGGTATCACGCCAATAAGGCATATGTTTTCATCTTTGTAACGCATGTCTGGCGGGAGATTGAGGAGAACCAGGTAGATTCCGGTGCTCGTTCTTGTCTTCTTTGCAGCTTTCACGAAGAAGGGATTGAATCCGTCCACACCAATGGACCAGACCAGCCGTAGTTCATTTTGAGGCGCATCGATAATTCGATCACCATTACAGTCCTTGAAGTCCTTTGCTATGCCTCCATGCCACCAGTCGTGGAGATCTTCATCGTCGTGCGCGCGTGCCTTATCCGCCGTTACGTCTATCGCACGCTCTATCTCGGGTCTGGATAGCATACGAGCTGTCCACCACTTCAGCTTCTGATGCAGATAGCGTTTGCAGGGCACCGTATATAGTTTGCCTTGGATCATGCACTTGCGCAGCAATGACGTACCGCAAACGGGTGATGACGGCGTCGCTTGATGGGTACAACTCTCGAGAGCTGGGTTGGAGTCTGGGTACAGACAATAGCACTCTGGACACACGACATAGGAGCGCACGACAGGGTCCACGTCGAACTGATGAAGGAGGGTACGAGAGTCGACGGGAATGCTATCGAGGCCCACTTGCTCCTCGATGCTCCTGCTCGAGCCGCGCCGTTGAAGTTTGTGAAGCGACCATCGCAGTACGTACAGTGTGAAGTCGCAAGCGTTCCTCGATACTCGGGAGATGAGATGGAGTACGAGGATCAAAAACTTCAGTGCCATTATGGCCGGGTCTGCTGAACGATGCTGCGCACGATGAAACCGTTCTGCTACGCTCAGTTTGGCTCAGCTCAGAGTGAACGCAGTGCTCACCAGATGGAAGGAGAATCCGATTTTGTCCATTATAGCTGACAAGATGGGGATCTAGAGGACCATGATCTCCGCGTCGTTGACAGTTCCATTCTTCTCCCTTAATAGCCTCCAAGCGTCTGAGCTCATCCAGGATGCGATTATGGACCATAGCCTGCAGGTTTTGGAGTCGGGAGGAATTCGAGACAACATGACTGATGTTCACGAGCTGCTGATACATGAACTCTTCGTGACGCAGGAAGCGGTTATTGATTGAATGCTGGGTGGATAGGCGTAGAAGGCCGCCGTTCGCGAATGAAGCAGGCTCCGTGGCAGTGGTGTGATATTCAGACGAGGTTTCGTCGGGCGGACGGGCAAAGACGAGTGTCGGGGGAACGGAAAAAGTGAGGATATTCGTATTGACTAATACGAACACCGAGGTTAACTCCTTGATAGCGCGCGCATTGGCAGCATCCAGGGCTTCGTCTGTGTTCCCCTCTGCAGGATCAAAGGTCGGTGGCGACCCAGCCTCCTCCTCGTCTTCATACGCAGCCGACTCAGCGATGTCACTGCCCGTATCGATTGAGGAAGCGTTCCCGTCTAAGGCAACAAAGCTGTCGCTCAAGTCGATGTCCCGTACGCGCCGCTGATGCGATTCGTTTGGGGTGATGGAGGGACCCAAGCATGGGGCGTCATTGAGTTCGTGACGTTCAACGAGTGGCTCGCCAGCTCGGTCGGAGGCAATGCGTGATGCCGATTGTGGACCAGTGAGCGACCGCGCGATGAATGCGCCGTCAACGTTGCCAGCCAGGGTTGCCTGCCCTTCTAGGAACCGTGCACGTTTATCTATCGTCGCATGGGTGTCATATAGTTTTCGCGACACCCAATCTCCCTTGACCCTCACCCCCCTGCGCTTATCGTCGACTGTCTTCAAACTGCACCCAGATGTGACGCATTGGCAGAGAACCACAGGTCGGCCTCGCAGTATACCAGTCGCTGCAGGCGCCATCGGTTATTTCCGTTGAGGCGATCTATTATGACTGCCCGCAAATGCAGCTCTAAATTGGTCAGTGTCGATGACGTTGCAACCAAGTAGCTACGAACCTCTTCAAGCACGCAGCACTTCAGTTCGCAGAGTAGTAGCGGACCACGATGGTAGCGGAAGTCGAGAAAGGAGAGCTGCTCGATGTCCGGATCTAATGCATTATGCAACTTGTATGCAACCGTTTGGCATACCTTGTCGTCCGCATACAGACTCCATTGTGACAGCATGCCATGGATGCAGCCACTGGACGGGCGTGGCGAGTGGTCGATATTGAGCTGGCGGGGGAAGGATGAAATATGTGATTCTAGCACACCATTATGCACACTTGTCACAGGAGTCGGACTTCCGCGATAGCCCGCGTATTGCGCCTGTAGCGGCTACTTGTGCTACCCTCAGATGATCGAAACGGTCACCAAGCCAAAACAGCTATGAAGCGTTGAACTTTTGGTAAGACACCGCCGTGATAATCCGTGCGCAGTGAACCGCCGACAGTGAACCCAACGACCCATGTCGCTAACCAAGCGAACGCGCAGAAGTTCGATGAGCCTGAGGCTGAGGTCTTTCGAGCAGAACACGACGCAGGTGGGCTGGTGCGACGAGATCAACACAAGTACAAGGGTAGTAGAACCCGCGCGACATTGCGAGCGAGGTAAGATCGGTCGGCGGACGTAGTCAGGAGGCTGAACAGGGCTACGTCGACATTGTGTATTGACGAACGCGAGTGTAACGACAGCGGGCAGGGTGAGGGGGTGGCGCTTGCACGGAACAGGGCGTCTGAATGCAGCGTTGCCAAGGCTCCAGTCATATCGCAGCAGACGCATTCAATAATAACAAGGAGTACACTGGGAATCTGTTTATGTCTTCGCCGAAACCCGTAGCAAAACATCCAGTCGGCGCAATCTAGACGCGAAGATTAGGGGCTAGTACTACACGCTCAACAAGGGATTCGACTCACCAGAATGGCCGAATTAGTATATCGATGGGGCTGATCATTGCGTTCAAGGACTGGGGCGGCATAACAAACATCCACCCATGCGTTGAAGAGTGAAGCTACGAGGTCGAGGCCGCCAAGGAATGCCGGATCCCCAGGTGAGAGCGTGCTGGCGACAACTTTTGTAGGTCGAATGGCAGTGCGGGACACACTTCAGGCAGCAGTTCATCGTGTAGCGGGACATCTAGGTTCGGATCCAAAAGCAGGCGTCGTTTGGCGGTACGATCGGGTCGGGGGTGGGGTCGTCGTCGTACGGAGCAGCGAGGTCAACGAGCGAACTCGCAAGCCTGAGTGACTGTATCGGCGACAGTGCAGAGGTAACAGTAGACGGCCTGGACAACAGTCGAGGGCCGTATGGTGGCGGACAGATCGACTGTTCGAAAGCCGACGCCTGGGAGTCGGCGTACGCTGGTGGTAGCACAGACTCGGACGAGTCGGACATTATTGGCTGCGCAGAGCCATCATACACCTGCAGAGCAATGTTACATTCAGACATCAATCCGACGCACAGTCAACATCGATGCCGAGATGAATACTCACGTACGGGAAGGCGTGGAGATGGACACCGACACCGACGTGGGAGAGGGAGACAAAGATACAAGAGATGGAAGTCGAAGAGAAGGCGGTAGGACCATGCAGGGAAGAGACGGTGACCGGTATGAAGACGCAGTAGGAAGTGACGCGCCGCCCCCGTAAGCGTTCGAGCTAAAAGTGAACGAGCCTGACGATGTGTGTGTGAGCCTGACAGGCGGGCGTGCTTCGGCGCTCGAAGAACGTGCACGGAATTTTAGGGCGGATTGGCGCAAGTGAAGAATCGTCAGAGCAAAAGTAATCAGTCGCGCCGGGCGGTGAGCGACAGAGGCATGAGCAAGGGGACGAAGGGGACCGGGAGATAGAAAGGACCGAGCAGGTTCGCTCTACCGCTCGTCACGGGCAGGAGCTCACCACCCGGTCATCAACGCATAGTCGAAACCAAAACGGACGACCGGGGCGAGACGGGGACGACGGATGGGCGGGCGAGGTGTGGGCTGCAGTTCGGATATCTTCGCGCGAGGCGTCGCCTTCGCCATCGCATTCGGCGCGGCAGGTACGTGGTACGTGGTAAGGGGCCTGCAGTCCATCGAGGAAAACGAGTTAGTACCGAATGAAAGACTCCATTTCACACCGCGCACCTCTTCTTCACGCCCGAGCATGGCCCTCCTACGGTACCGCTCCACCGACAGCGTGACTTGAGGCTCGCCGAGCAGGTTCGCTCTACCGCTCATCAAGAGCGGGAGCTCACCATCCGGTCATCAACGCATGGTCGAAACCAAAACGGACGACCGGAGCGAGACGGGGGCGACGGACGGGCTGCAGTTGGGTACCTTCGCATGAAGCGTCGCCTTCGCCAGCGCATCCGGCGCGGCAAGTACGTGGTAAGGTGTTTGCTATCCATCGAGGGCGACAGCGTCCACAGTCGAGGGCGTGAAGCGGGGGTGGTCGTCGTCTTGGCCCTGTAGGTCGATTTCGGGTGGCGGCGAATCCGCCGTCGGCGACAGTCTCCTGCATATAGGTCAGCTTGGCGTTAGAACACGCAGAGAGAGCGCACTTACAGATCGCCCGCAAACAGGCGACATCCTGCCAACGTTCCGCAGGGATTCGTCGCGCCGACACCCTATGTCGACCCCCATGTCGACCTGGCGGACGTCCTCGCGGGCTAAGCCGCCGTGCTTCGACCCGCCAGCTGGCGGGTCCCTTCGTTCCGGGAGGGCTTCGGACGGACATTGACGGCGGCGCTGCGACGGAGCTGCAGCAGCTGCGGGATGGTGGACGCTGTGAGCGTTGAGCGCTGAGCGCCGCATATGTAGCACGAAGGGCTGCAGGTCGTCGGGCTGAGGTCGAGGGGCGTGAGAGGATGACGTAAGTCGTCATTAGCGCCGCGACGCCCTTATGTCGAATTCGAAAACATATCGACACCCCGAGTCGCACGCGGACGCGACTCGGGGGCACTCATGGTGTCGGTGAACGAGTAAGATTAGAGAACAAGACATTTTACATGATTGTACAACGGCAGAGGCAGCGGAATAAACAGACGACAGACGCGAGTGGTGCTAGAGACCATGGGGGAAGGAGGTATGGATAACAAAACGGAATCGCTGACAGCAGCCCTTGGACGTTGCGCGCAACGCAGTAGCCTGAATTAGACAAGCCCGTCCAGGTCTACTGGCAGGATCGTGCGGATGTCGCTGTTGGTCGCCGTGAGTGCTGCCGGTACGCGCTTGACTCACGCCCCCCTCCTCGCCCTGCCGCGAAGCACAAGACCGGGGCCTTCGACTGCAGCCGTGGCATTGTTCCTGCCCCGTACGTGTCCCGTGCGTGCTCCAGACGGCTCACGCGCCCGATCGACAGCAGGCGGGACACCGACATGCGGACGATCTGTCCCCATACAGCTCGTCCAGCGAAGCTGACGTGTGTGTAGTCGGTACGTTGCATCCTCCGGGGACGAGCATCGCACTAGCGATACAGTGTCACGAGTGAATGTTCGGTGGCGGTAATACCCGATGCGTCGCCTTCCGAGTCCTTTTCCACTTGCCCGCGCTCGCTGACTCCGCCTCGCTCGTCACGCCGGCTCCGAATTGTGTACCGTCAGTCGTGTCGCGCATACGTTTCGCTCGCTGGTGCGTGCTTCGCTGTGTGCTGATTGCGCACCCAGGATCCGTGACGACGACCCCTCTTCGTATGTCTCGAGCAAGTGCGCCGCAGTCTTATTACGATGTGCGCCGAGACCACCGACACGCCGCACGCGTGTGCCCGGTCGTCTCGATTGCACCAGATGCGCACATGCGGGCCGATCATTGGGTGCTATGCCTCGTCGTCAGCTTGAGCGTGCGCCCGGGAGTGGACTAGAAGACGGCGGCGGCGGATATGCCGATCTAGCGTCGAGCGAAGGTCATGCCCCTGTGGGCATCGTGTTAGCACGTTCGTAAGGTAGGAACACCACTTTCCTTGTGATGTGTGCCCGGTGAACCAAGGGGTCCCAAGGACATGCCAGAGGCGCACTCCATGAGCGCCGCGAGAGATGAGCACAAATGCATCGAGGCCAGCCCGAGCCGCTTGTCGCGTCGTTTCAGCAGTGCCTCATTAAGACGTAGCATCTCGGGATGTGTGCCTAGCGAGAGCCGGTAGACGATTTAACACGGGCAGGCCGTTTCATCTGCACCTTCCGCCACCTTGGCCTCTTCCCATGCAAGTGCTTCCTTCTTCTCCACGCATAAGTGTTTCTAAAAACGCACGAACTTGAGTTCGATCACCGCAAGGACGTCTAGGGTCTCTGTACGGTGGACAGGCTGCGGATCGGACTCCAGTTCCATCTCCAACTCCGGAAAGTCCAGGTCAGCCTCCCCAACGTCACCCACGCCTCCGGCCGGCCCATCTGCCCCCGCTGCTTGGTCCGCTGTGTCGAGGTCACGATCCGCCGCCGCCTCAACCCTGGCCTTGCGTCCCCGTGCCCGGGCCCTCGTCTTGCGTGACGGACGACTTCCTTTGACCTCGGGCTCGGGCTCGGAGTCGCGAGCGGAGGGTGCGTCGGCGTCGGACGACGGGGAGTGGGACGAAGAGAGCGAATCAGATGTTGAGGACGAGGGTGAGGGTGAGGGCGAGGGTGGCGCCACAACAGTCGAGCCTGCCATGATTGAGGAAGCTGCAGCCATGTGAGGTGTCAGAGCGACGAGTAGCGGCGGAGGCACGATCTGGTCGACGTCCATAAACGCAATGCCGTCGAGCCGCGTCCAGCGGCGTTGCCGGTTCGCATGCGGCACATGCGCGAGGCTCATCTTCAGCGTCGGACTCTGCGATGGGTGTATTGTCGGCCACTGGGACCTCGCCCGCTTCATCATCATCTGCGTTTTCCTCGTCGGTGAGTTCGGGCGACGGGGCACCCTTATAGAATGCGGCGCGCGAATTGGACCCGCTGACCGCGCCGTCAAGCTATGTGTCGTCCTCGTCAGGGTCCTCTTCGTCGGTAGCGTCTACGTTTTCGAGAGGATCGTCTGGGGGTGGCTCCAACGCCTCAGCGTCCGAAGAGGTGCGCGCGGCTCCTCGCCCTCGCCCTCGCCCTCGCTCTCTACCTCGTGAGGAACGGCGCGGTCGGGGTCGTCATCGTCATTGCTCCGCACCTGCTCCTCGTCTTCTCCCTCTTCCATCGCATTCGCGGGGCCGGACTGCCCCCCTTCTTCCTCTACGAGGCGCGTACGCCAGTCTCCCTTCTCGGTCTTCTTGTTGTTCTTGTACGCCCAATCCCACATCAGATCAGGTGGTAGGAGGCTACCTCGCTTTCGTTTGCTATCTCGCGGTCTGCTCGAGTTGCGCACCTCTGCTTTACTGTTTTCCTCCTGTTCCTCCTCCGTCAGTTCGGAAAGCTCTGAGCCGCCGCGTCGACGGCTGCGGGACCGCCGTTGTTGAACTCGGGTGCGGACCAGTTTTCTTCTGGAGGTGGAGGTGAGGGAGGCAGTAGCTGAGAGGCTCAAGGGGGATGGAGCCCGTCATCGTTGTCGACGGCGAAGAGCAGAGTGCCGCACTCGACCAGATACGCGCTCAGATCGTGGTCACGAGGTTGTGATATGCGTTCTTGATCGGGTAGGTGTGACTATGGGTGACTGCATTGAGCGCCAGCGTTGTGGCCTCTGAGATTGTCTTAGACTCGCTCACTGGCAGCGCTGAGTACTTTGCCCCCTCGCCTTCGATCCCGCCCGTCTGCTTGTCTCATGTTCGCCTGTCTGGTTTCTCGCCCGGCGTCCGCTTTCTCGTGCATCCGCTTTCTCACCCATCTACTTCCTCTCTCGTCCGCCCTCTCGGTCATCCTCCCGTCCGCCCGTTCTGCTGTCCGACCGCCTGTTGTTTACCGGCCGAATTCGAGCCGCCGAATGTCATGACTCTCGCGTTGTCCCATTGGGCACGCGAGCACGATCCGGAGCTAGGTAGCTGAGGAAAATCAGCCACGCGGTCCATCAAACTCTCTTCCGGTTTGCAGGCTACGTCGCATGGCGGAGCAATTTCCCCGGTGCACTAATCTGCACGACCCTTATTAATGTGCTCATCCCGCAGGATCGCCACCGTCAGCGCCATTAGCGGCAATCTGCAGGTTTCCCGTACACGCGCCACCTGCAATAAAATAGCTCAAGACACATAACATCGCGCGCGCAATCGTGGGCAAGGGAGAGGAGGGTGAGTGACACTTCGCTGGCAAAAGGCGACAACCATTAAACCTATCGATACTCGTGTGAAGCCGTCGAGCAGGAAGCAAACAACTTCGCCTCCTGCGCGGGATCGTTCCCGCTTGCGACCGCGACGGGCCAGCAAGTCGCACCGAACTCGGATCCTTAGGATGTGCCCGACGAGAAGCTCGCACAACAGGAACGGGAAAGCAGGAGGGTTACGGGCGCGTTGCCAGACCCGATGCAGTTCGCGTGCACGACGGGCGTGGTGCATATCTGCACGGTGCGAGGACCGCCGGCAGGCACGACGCGACGAAGAACTACGTCAGGAGTGCAATGTGGGAGAAGGCGGGGCCTGTCATGCTTGCTCTCGTTGGTCTGGTAGACACTTGGGAACGTCTAGGAAAGTGAGTGCGTTCACTATCTTCCTTTGGCGTCCCTCAACTTGCATGGCTAGCGTCATTTCCCATACTGCGCCGCCCTTGCATACGCCCCGTCTACGGCTCACGGCGCTGGTAGTATAGGACATGGTAGTGACCACAGCCGTTCCGGCTGCTCTGTTCGTCAGGACTTGTATCTGTACCCGTGCTTGTACCAGCAGGCGATCGACGAACAAGAAGTCCGTCGTGTGCCCTGCTGGCCACGAAGATAGCTTGTTCATCGCTCGGGGCGACATACGTCGTGCCCGCTGCTACCCACGACAACACGTCGGATGCTCATCACTGCACATCTGGCGTGTTGCGTCCGTCTACGACAATATTGTAGTACGTACGTCTATGTCGAACCTTTCGCTCGACGCACATGCTGCCAGGGTAGCGACGTGTCCTGCGTACGCGCCCGCCGTCAGCAAGCTTTCGGGCCCTTGACTCCGTGACGGCCGACGTGCACCATTCCGACCGATGCTATATGTGTATATTACAGTATGATGAATAGAACGGCTCAAGACAATGTGTACTACAACTATGATGGCCCACTCGGGACGAACAGACTACTTACAGCGATAGCGACGACGAGCTTCAGCTTTCTTTTCACCCTGTCGATCGAGAAGTCTAATGCGAGCGCTAAGGCTTAATCAGCTGCAGAGCGAAGCTATCTTCACCTTGCATTGTGCCGTCGACGCAAGCATATTGCTTTGTTATGCGAAACGATAGGGATGTCGAAGCGGCTCGTCGAGCTTTTCTCTGCCTCCTGTGATTGACCTGCTCTACGCAACCACTCCTTACAACAGCGACAACACCCGTACTACGCGATGTCTGCCATCTCCGACGTGGTACCGACTGTAGAAGCCTCGAGCCGCGAGGCTCTCAGTATTTTAGAGGCGGATATCACAGACACAGCTATCGCTGTTGACTCTGCGCTGCTACAGTGAGTGTGCGGACAACTATTGTGAATAAATTTCGACGTCACAGCTCTCAAGGACTTTCCGCGACCTTCATTTCGACGATCTTGAGATGCTTGAGCCCCGCTCCTTGCCTAGGAAATACCTCGAAAGAAAGAACGTACATCATCGCAGACACCTGATTTCCAAGTTCGAAAGAATACTCAACGACTTTCATGACAAGTACTCCGGGGAAGACATGCAAAATCTTTTCCTCGGCCTGTCTGAACGCTCCTTGAGCCTATCTACGCTGCAGACACAGGCGAGTGAGCTGCCACAACGAACGTATTGACCAAGCCACTCATGTCACTCTTTCTAGCTCCAGGACAAACTGCTGGCTTCTGAAGGCGACGAACGCGATGTACGCGTGCCTCGTAGACTTCAGAGCCACATAGAGCGCCTCATTTCCCTTGAATCTGAGTCGGATTATCTGCGGCTACAAGTCGAGCACAGTTCTGCATCATTGTCTATGTTATTCATGCCTCAGGTACGCCATCTATTCTGAAGGATTGTATTTCATGGCCATGAACACTTGTGAACTAGGATGCGGCCCGACAATTGTTTATCAGGCCACTGATCGATCTTCCTGAAGACTTCACGCAAGGCCTAGCTGAAGCCGGAAAAGTACTGTCCGATATCAACCGGATGACCGTGGAACGTCGACGGCTCCGCAATGAGATGGTAACACTCTTGAATCGGGCGTCTGCAGAATTGGCTGCAGCGGACGACGGACCGCCGCAACCTGCGAGGAACGGAATCATCCAACAACACTTTGCTCAGCTGCGGGGCATCAGACAGGTCCTGACAACTCAGCGTGAACAGTTGGAGGTTTTGAAGAAGATGCTTGTGGTGAGCCGTTCATTACCTTGTCCAAGCAGCAGAAACATAGCATTGGTCATAGATTGAATTCGATTCCTTGGTCGCTACCCCAAAGTTTCTCCGGGATCAGGCTGGTACGCCTATCAGCGTAGTCGATCTCAGAACTGCCCTCCAGGCATTCATCGACCTCTGCCGGGGCGCTCGGGCACACAGCAGGGTATGTAACGCCATTCCTTCGGAGGCAAAGATGCATGATGTTCAAGCTATGCCTCCGGCAAAACCTTACAGGGCTGCGATCGCGCAATCAGCCACAGCGAGGAGCTGCTGGATCTGTTAAACAGAGGTACCTATGAAGACTGATTTGACACCCTTCACGTCCACCTACATAACTGGACATTGCGTCGCCCGTCAGCTCTTTGTTCTACTGCCTCCACCGTTGTAAAACTAAGGCGTCCTAATCCTTGATATTCCTCATTGACCCGCACCATTAGTCCCTCCGAGTCGTGTCCACGCGTAGCTCAGGACAGCACTAAGCAACAACGAAACAAAGTGAGCGGCGTGCCACATTGAGGTAACAAAAATGGCACTTAGTTTACCACCGGTGGCTTTAAAGCTCGGTTTGAGCGAAGCCACACATGAACAGCAGGGCGATGCAATGCAGTACATTTGAGTAACTAGACAGCGATGAAAACAGATTGTATACTACGGGAGAGAGACTAGTTGCACGGGAGGGCATGGCAGACGGTAGAACTTGGACGTGAAGGTTTTGACATAGAACTTGAGTGCAGTGGCCTCGACGGCGTCGAAGTGCCCCGCATCATCGCATTCCCCGATTGTGGCTGCATTGGCTCGTACTACCTCGGGGACCTGTGGCCACGCGCTCATGACCAACAACAAAGCCTGAAGGCTGCCTCGGCGACCCTGCCACCCCTCTTCGCGCGTCGGCGTCCAACAGAAGGCAGGGGAGGACACGTCAATGACCGAAAACACAGTTTGATGAACCGACGACTGCCACACTCGAGCAACGCGCTGTTCACGTTCCCACTTGCGAAACGCATCGTCCGAATGATCAACTAGAAGATTGTCGAGGGCGCGCAACTCACAACGCCAGTTCGTCTCGTAAAGTTCCCAAACCACCATCGCCAAGAACGTCTTGTTGGTTTTTGCGGCGTCGAGATTGACTTTCATCCCACGAAACCACGACACGTCGGCTTCGTTGTACGACAGCAGAGACCCGCCTTTGGCGAACAGCCGACGTACGCACTGCAATCGCTCGTAGAGGTAGTCACGCTTTGGCACCTCCGAAGTTGTCGCATTCCCCGGTGATTCATCCTCGCTCCTGGTCTTGTCCTTCGCGTCCGGCTCGTCGAGACGATAGTCACCGTAAAGGGCATGACGCCAATCGGCGATACGCAGGGGCGTGCCGCTGATGGCGGAGTCGACGAGGCGGTGCCTGCAGTACTCACGAATGCGCGTGAAGTTGTGCAGATAGCGCGTCTTGTGAGTGGTAGCCTGGAAGATGACGAAGGGCGGAGGGAAGAAGTATTCGACCGCCACACGCGGCGGGAACGGCAACGGAGACAGCTCGGACAGGGCAGCCGTCCAGTTGGGACTGAGGGTGACGAGCTCGGCAGGAGGAGCCTTGAACGTAGTCGCGGGGTGTGGATCCGGTGTCTTCTCCGGCCCTCGGCCTTTGCGCGTGCGTTTGCCCCTCTTCTTGGCATTGCGTGTCTGTGGCGGCGCCTTCGAACCAGACAGCATTGCCGGAGTCGAGTCATTGCCCTTAAACCTTTTCGCCTCACTCTCCGTGCCGTCAGGCCGAGCGACGACCTGGAGCCGAGGCAACGCCGACGAGCACAGTAGGTTGCTCACAAAGAGCACCGAAGGCTGCGTCCAGCGAGCCGGGTCCTGATGTGTCCCGTCGGGGTCGTACCATGACTTTGGAATGCGGGGCCAGGCGGGTTCATCCTTGAGCTCGGTGTTCCACGCACGAGGATTCACCACCTTGCGGATACAGAGGTTGTCAGCCCATGGCCGGATGTACCAGAAGGGCAACCCTATGCGATGGAAGAATTGGGCAGCGGCGTCATTGCGGACGAAAGCGCCGAGGACTTTCAAGACAGGGTGAACACGCTTGTGTGTGTTGGCGATGCGACTGACCAGGACAGTGAAGTAGACCGTCAGACCGGAGAGCTCGAGAATGAGACGGTGAGCCATTCTCGCCGTCACCAGGGCATGCTGCTCGGTGCAGGGGAGCGCTCTGAGACGATCGACGGCATTCCTCAGCAGGAGGCATAACATCGCACCTAGCCTCCCATCAACACCCGATGAGCGAGTGAAAGTCGCCGGGTCGCGACGCCGAGCGGCGATTTCGGCCTGCTCGTAACGCGAAATGACCGCGACTGCAATTGAATATAACTCGTTTAGCACCTCCCCCTTCAGATATCCAAACCCCAGGACCCCGCATGTCTTCGATTCCTCCCACGGATCGTATCCGAGACCATCGTACACTTGCGACCCCGGGGCGTACTCTGAGTCGCTAATGGGAATGCATGCATGGTGAACGCAGCGTTCGTTGTATAACTGAGGCCACCGAGTGTACTCCTGGGGTCCCCAGAGGCCGTCGCTGAACGTCACGATTTCGCGCCCAGAGATACGCGGAAACTCCGGTATCCAGGTCATACACGGTGTAGTGATTATGTTGCAATTGTCGTCTGCGTCTGCCGCACATTCAGCATCGAATGGGCCCAGGTGTGAGCGCCGCTCTACGGCACAACACGCTCAATAACGAATCATGGAGATCAGAGCTTGTGAAGCCGTACCTGACGCAGGTGAGGGGGTCAGCACGAAGTTGGAGATTTGGATGGGCCGGTGAAGATTGGCATCCGCCATAGTGGACACAGCTACAGCGCGATACATTAGTCGATTCGACGATTTGAACGAAGCACATAGGCCTCATACCAGTATACTAAGTCCGACGCAGGCAACGCCGGCGGAGTACTTGCAGCACTGTGGACGCGATTGGCTGCACCCCGGAAGCCGTTTCAGATTCATTGAGAACATATGAGGAGGTATCCACACCTTTGTGACGCGTTATATCCACTCTAGGGGCGTCGTCTTGCAGAGGGACGGCGCGTTCTCGGGTTTGTCAGGCCAGGGCAATACTGGCCGCAGTCGTGCAGCCGTCAGCAGCTTTCGGTAGTGAGACACATCACGAATTGTCACTCACACGAGCTGACGCGCAGGAGGCCAATCCGGAGTGGGTGCAGGGGAGTTGTGCCACGGAGGAAAACAACTCTGGGACGTGTCTCCTTACGAATGGACTTTGCTGGCCCGCGTTCCCTTGAGGAGTCCTAGATTAGCGTAGGCAGTTTTGATTTGGGGTCGTGTGGTCACTTGAAGGTTCGCGACGCGTCTTGACGCGAGGCAGTAGTCTTGCGGCTATAGGTCGAAGTGTCCGACGAGAAGCCCGGCAAGAAACACTGTGCCAGAGCCACGTTCGCGCAGGAAGATCGAAATCTAACCTAGCCGCAGAACGACGCTACGAAGGGGGCCGAGGGCGAGAGGGAGGCACGAAAGCGAGATGCGGTCAGAGGAGACTTCAGCGCGACGAGGTCGAGGGTGAGATGTTGGGATGTGCAAGCGCTGGTTGGCGTCTACGGCACGCGGCCTCCGAGTCGCCTTCAGCGCTTGTGCCCCTCCCCTCCTAATAGTAGTCCTACGCTGACCTCCCTTCCTATGCCGAACTCTGGCCCGTCTCAACAGCGCTCGTGTCGCGCTATGTCCACCTCAATCCCCTCTGTATGTCTCTATTCAGGTACCCCGGAGGTCCGCTTTGGTTTCGACCATGCGTTGATATCTGGGCCGGGGAACTCCTGCCCTCGTATGAGCAGTTGAGTGAACCTCGCCGATTCCACGAGATGCCGACCCTCTATCAGCTGCAAAGACGCTCTGGTGGGTCGGTGTAGTCGATCTCAGGCAGCCTTATCAATCCGACGATATATCGAAGGGCTCACCACCTATGCTCGATACTACGCCCTGCTGTCCCCGATTTACAAGAATATGATCGACGACTCACACAAGTGTGACCCACCCCACCGTAGCCGTGCGTATTGGAACCGCTAAGGTAAGTCTCATGCGACCAGAGCAATTTACATCCCCTGACGCCTCAATTCCATGCTTGCGACCAACGTACGCTCCGCGTCTGACCTCGCACGTCCGATGTGCCTCGAGCGGACAGGCGAATCGGCGGGCGAGCGAATGAGTGAGCAAATGTACGGACGGACGGGTGAGCGGGCGGGTTTGCGGGCGAGTTGGTGGATTTGCGAACGTGCGAGCTCTACAGGACGGATTGGCGTTGTGAGTTGCGCGCCCTTGACTGTCTTCTCGTCGACCACACCAAGGACATCTTCGTCAGGCGGGAACGCGGGCAACTAATCGTCACAATCTGGTACCGCTCAGCACTCGAATCCGCCTTCTCTGCTGTCGTCGTCGAAGACTCCTCACTTTGCTGGAACGTTGCCGGGGACCCCGAGTAGTGAACACCTGCGCTTTTTTGGTCGCAATGAACGCCTGGCCGGACTCCCCCCTCGCTGCGAGTGCATATAGGGGACGTTGAGAAGTGCGGGGATGTCGACGTCTTTAATGAAACGGAGGCTGCCGCCATCCACTTCTACGTCAAGATCTTCGATCACGAGCCGCCGCTCAGTAGACAATGCAAGCCTGCGCCACATGAATATATAAAGCGAAGGTGAAGTCGACCAACGTGTAGTCAAGCAAGCACCATGTCCTTCCCCTCTCCCTCGGTCAGCGCCCTCTCCGAAAATGTTGCTGCCGTCCGCTCTGGGAGGCGCCCCGACAGGTGAGTCGGTCGCCTTTTCGTCATGAAGCGCAGCGCTGAGCAGCAGTTGACAGAGGAATCCTGGTCTTCTATGTGGCGGATTACCGACTAGGCTCTCGTAGAGGGGTCGTAACTATTGGCGGTGCTCGTATCATGAGACCCGGACACCTTGTCCTCATCCCTCTCCCTGGCGGTCGTTGTGAGTCTGCCTTTCCAACTCGTTGCTCTCGGCCCGCCACTGATAGTTGCTTCCCGCAGATGCCTTCTTCTGCTGCGGGCCCCGTGAGGTGCGAGGAACGCCGATCGGCTCATGGAACGTTCAGATCGTTGTCCAAGAGGTGAGCGTGCAGCCGGTTCAATGGCTCGGTCACTGAATTGTTGCGTCACAGCCCACATTGACCGTCTATTGGTACGATGAATCCGCGGACAGGGTCTACTCGGTGACCATGTACGATGACGAGAGCTTCCGTACGCTTATGTGCCACTGCTTCGGAGGCAGTGGCGACAACGCTATCTCGCAGGGCGTTCGCTCGCAGGGCATTGTTAGCCCGCAGAGCACCGGGCCGTCCTGGCGCCACGCCTGTGGCCTTATCGTTTTATATCTCGTTGCTCTTTATCTCTCCTACAAAGCTACTGCTGCCTATGTCTCGTTCACGAAGTACATGTAGATGATCACCGTTTCCTGGATCTTCGAGGTCTTGGCTCAATTGTTTTCATTCTCCCTTCCCCTCCGTTCCTCCCCTTCCTTTCCGTTCCCTCTGTTCTCTTCCCCCCCTCCTCCACTCTTCTCTTTCATCTAGCACAATCGCTATATCGCCCATCGAATCTCGCCGTAGTAACGTAATTGTGACTTAATTTTTTTTCAATGCAACCCGAGGACCTTCGCTCCTACACTTCAGCCATGCCCCTTGTGCCACTGACGCTGCACTTGCGCGGCTGCGCGCGAGCGACGAACGTGTGCGAGTGCCAGTGGGACGACGCCATGCACATCTCGAGCATGTTGTCCTCATTGTCGTCGCTATGACCCAGAAGAGCTCGGCCCCCGCTCCCATCGCGCGTGCGCGCGTTGATCGGCGAAGCTCGAAGGCGTGCATGTGGGCGTCTACTGGCGGACGATTTCGATTAGTAGCGACGTACCGATAGCCCCGAGGCGACGGAGACCTTCTTCTACCTGCTCAGCCTCGGCTGCAATGAATTGTTGGGTGCGTGTGCAGATGCGGTGGGCGAGGCGTGCGGGTGTGTCGCGGAGCGGGTGGTTCGATGGAAGGAGCCGAGGCAGAGGCCGGGGAGGATGGCGGAGGTGAGGTTTAAGGTCCATAGCACGCTGAATAGGTTCAGGAAGGAGTATAGGTGCGTCGGGATGCTCATCCGCAATACTACCGAGCAGTGCGTGCGTTGGCATAAGATGCTCGATCCGTATCGGCCTGCGTTTGACTCCAGCCATGTCGGCTCGCCTGGTGCGGACGCGACCTCCGAGCCACCGCCGCATCGATGGTGCATACACATTTGTTTTCACTCGGCGCGCGCTTAGGGTCACTACGTGCGACTGAGAGCGACGCATACATAGACAGTGAGAGCAGCCTTATTAACTGAAAGAGACGACATGAAGGGATGTAGATTACAGCGTGTTGTGAACTTGAAAAGGACAAGGCATAGACAGCCTCATAACTCGCTCAGTAGTAATCCGAGCCTAGCTCACGCATAGAGCGTGCACGCCGGATTGCCGGCACAGCAGTCGAGAGGTCCAGCGACAAGTGTTCCAGAGCATTGACTGTGATGTTTGATCGCTGTTCCCCATTGATGTTCCCTTCAACTAAGAAGCGTATGCCCCAAGCACGCTGAGATCCTCGGTGCGTCAGTATGTTGTATCACAGCTTTGAATTTAATTTTACTCACTCTTTCGAAAACCTGGACAACATGAATATTAGTCGTAGTATGGGCAAAGTAGCCAAGGTTGATGCGCATGAAGTCTAAGGGTATATAGCATTAGGACAGACAGTATTGAGCCGAGGAGACTTCGCTTACTAGACAAATTGTGTCGAAGGTGGCGCCTCCATTCGCGGCTCAACTGCCCCGCCCGAGGGGGTCCGGGCTCTCTGTACACGTGAGGGTGCGTCATGGCGGTCGCTTGCGCGAGGACAGCACTGTTCTGGCTCGCCGACATAAGCTCTCTGCCCAAGAAGATCATTCGAGGGCACTCACCCATTCGTGACGTTCATAGGGACGATCAGCGACATTCCAATCGATCTCAACGCGATCTTCGACAATGTCCAGCCACTCGAGGGCATAAGTGAAGTAGTTACAGAGCAACCGGATGCGGTGCTGCAGTAATTGTCAATGAGCATTCAGGACTCTGTTGAGCATGAGTAAATTGAATCAGTGGCTCACCAGCACCCCAATGACCTGGCAATAGGTGACATGTGCCGGGATTCTAGTAATGTCGACAGGGGATAAAGTCACAAGCAGGGAGGCTGCAGAACTGATGTTTTCCAGTTCATCGTCGGATAAGTAACGCGGGTTGGTGAGCTGGAGCCATCGGGGAGTGGCCATCCTTCGACAATTGCAAGGTGGGAGTTGAGGTCGACTCACCGCAGACTCCAACCGGTCGAGTTTGTAGCTTCATATAGCCGCACCAGAATGTGCTGCTTTGTTTTGCGTTCATGTCTGTTGATTGGATGCTGAGGACAATGCAGAACAGTTTGAAAGCCACGCCTTCGTGCCTTTTCGCTGTGCTTATGACCTCGATTTTGAATGCTGACTCGTCAGGTAGGACTCTCAAAGCGTTCAGACGGCCTGCCAGACCTCCCAGCTCGTCACTGAGATCAGCCAAGACATAGGGATCAACTCAATTATATTCTATTGGCCACTACTACCGTGTGTACGCACATAGGCACAGACGGGCGCTTCGCCGCTTGCCGCACCCACGCCGCGTCGATGTCCTTCAACCTCACACTTTTAGGCCGTCAATCTCGCTTTCTTGGCGCCTTCATCCGGCCATTTTGGACCCGTGGAGTCAAGAAATAATGTCGCGGATCCCAGAAGATGAGTATTGCGCAGGCCAGAGTCGACACCGCACGAAGACAAAACAGATATGCCACGCGATGTGGCACGAGCGTGTGGTGCGAACGCCTAGGCCGTCCGAGTCGGACTAAGTTGCAACTACCGTGCTCACTCAGCCCGCTGTCTGATCAAACAGCAACTCTGGGCATGTGCGCACTGCGAGGATCAACGCGCCCATGAAGACAGGCCGCGCACCGGACGCAATCGGCGTACGCAGTGCTCGCCAAAGTGATCGCGGGGATCCTCTAGTCACTAAAGTGGTCGCGAATCCGCACTCAGGGAGCTTATTACCTACTGCTAGCTCGGGCCCGCAGGGCTGGATGGGGAAGTAGAGGAGTGCACCGGAGCGATCTATGCTTCGCAGCCCCAGGTACGCTCCGTCATACCCGTGCACAATGCGTCCTCGTCCTCGTGCAATATAAGTCCCTGCGCCGAGAGAGGGCATATCCCCGGGGCACCTGCCGCTTGCGCTGGTGCTATCGCGACTGCGACAGTCGTCCTCCGCAAGTCGCGACCAGTCGCGCTCCGGGAATCGCCCGCCGCACTGATGTCTGCGCGTCGTCCCCCGCCGCCTCCGTTCGCCCCTGGCCTTGCCCTTGCTCCTCCCGCGCCCACCGCAATGCCGGGTCGCGCGCAGCCAAGACCAGTCCGCTGACATCCCGAATGCCCAGTAGCCGACCATTCCCTGCTCGGAGGGATCCGTTCGTTCGTCCCGTTACACAGTCGCGCCGCGCGCGCGTTTACGGGGTCGATGTGGGTGGCAAGATCTCGCCGCCGACTTTCTCCCGCCGCCTTCAGCCGCGCCACGCCTGTTACGCCGCACGGCGCGGTTGCAATATGATAATTTCGACACCTATGCGCCGCCCACAAGCGGTCCGAAGACGACCCGCCCCCAAGACGTGACGCAGGGCAGCGTTCTCTGCGACACCGCTGGACAAACCTTGGATCAAGACGCTGCTGGGCGCTACCGCGCTCACGGCCGATGACTGCCAGCCCGACTAAATGGGCCCACCCCCTCCTCCCCACTCTGCTCTCTGCGTGTAGCCCTCTAGCGACTCCGGTAGAGCGCCTTGGAGCCTGTGTACCGCTCTGGATGCGTCCAACACTGCGTTCTTAGCCGTACCGCGCCGTACCGACTCCCGCTTACTCGGCGCGCCCGACCTCGCCCTTCCCTCGAAGCACTGCCGAACGGTCTCCCATGCGTGCGACACGCCTGGTCTGTGCACATCATTGAAGACCGGGGCTCAGCGATCCCGCGATCTGACAAAATCGCCTTATTCGTCCAATCTGGCCTTAGGCCCCCATACGGCACATACGTAACGTGCGAATGGAGCCTACGCACAACCATCAGGTGAGTGCGATACTTTATTATTACCGCATACATACTCATTCCACCCTCTCACCACGTCTTCGCAAACTGGCGGACCACAAGCGCCACTCCCGGACGGCGCTTTACGGACGTCCATCGTCAACGTCGGGGCTGGGTCGGGTGGGCAAGTCGGGCGAGACGCAGGATGGTGGGGGTGCGAGGGAGGCATCAGTGGGGTAGCACGGCGGTGATCTCGACATCGGCGGCTCGACGCGCTCCCACTCAAGCCCTTCGAAGTCACGGCCACACCGGGTGCGCGCCCCGCTCGCCGTCGTGTCGACTAGGTCGGGCGATCGCATCCACGTGTTCCGCCACATGCATACTACCACCGCGAAGCGCCCCACGGATCCACCTGCCGTCCTGCGCCCTCTTGCCGCCCGCCTGCTCGCATTCCATCATGCCCTCGCCTACCCACACGCTCTCGCCCGCGCGTTCGCCTACCCACATGCATTTGCCCGCCCGCCTGTCCATGCGCGGACCCTCAGGCTCGGTCCCGGCCCGACGTCACAGTATACAGGCAAGAACGGAGCGAGCATACGGTACAGGCTCAATATATTGATAGTCCCGAGGGCCAGTGGCGCGGAGGACTGAGGCTGACAAGGTTTCGGGCGCTAGCAATTCCACTATGATACGTGGAATGGTTCCATAACTAAGTAGGCTGTATATATACAACACCAACTGACTCTGAATCAACCGCTTTGTCGACCCATGCTCATGACGTCGGCTGACGCCTTGAGCTTGAGCCCTGATTGACTGAGCGATGAGTGATGCCCTCAACCAAAAAGCCAGCCTCTACTACTGATGCTCACTGAACGCTGCCGATGAATATTAATCCTCTGTATCGGTTACGGCTTATCGTTCGACTGCTTACATGCCCACGCCCTCTACCCGCAGTTCGTCGAGTGTTGAGAAAAGTGCCATACCCTCCATCCACCGCGCAACGGAACGCTGACTAACCTCCTCCCGCTCAATGGCGTCCAGGCTTGAGTAATACGCTGCTGAAGGCTGGAGGCCTGATCAACCCACCGGAAAATGCGCCCGCAGTGTACTGGGTGATGGAAAACCGCTTCTCGTTCCGCTGGATTCGGTGTTCGAGTGCCGCAGGGTCGCCGATGGCAACATGACGGTCGACCCGGCGGAAACTCTATGACAAGCTTCAGGTCCCATAATACAAGGTGACCGCCCTGTTGAGGGTCGAAATCACCCAGTGCGGAGATAGCGCACCAACCAAACGGCAGGTTGCCGCAGTCGCGATGGTCTAGGGTGCACGTTCTAGGCCCAAAATTGAACGTGGTGCATGCAAAGACGCTCCGTGAAAATTGGGCTGGAGGTGCGGATCGTGCTCCAGCAGGGGCTGCATGTGTGCCACATAGTAGTCGTAAAGTCGCGGGGCCCACGTACGGAATACGCCTTATTGGCCAGCTGGTTAGCGATGCAAATCACTAGCTCACTGCACGGGACCGACGGCTTACCAGATCCGAAGGCAGCCATTCGCTTGACATCCGCATGCTGCAGGAGCCCCTCCAGAATGGCGGCGTTCGAACGCGAATGTACAAGGTTCCCCGGTCGCTGGCAAAGGCATAAGACCGTACGCCCACAAAGGTATGTCATCCACAAACCTTCTGCCCGCCTCCATATGATATGCCTACTGCCAACGCAGCGAAATCCCCGCGCCGATGTGCACGATCCTTGGCCGTCAGCGACAGACTCTCGCGGGCCGCAGCAACGGCAGCCGCTGCACCTGCGTGCACATCGGGCCACTCTGGGCTGTCTGGAGCCCCACAAAGAACCGCGATGACGCGCCCGACATCGTCCGTTATGGGCCGAATCGTGCTGGGGGTAGCTCAGTGCTTGCGCGCCAGCCCAGTGGCAGATACGCACCGTCCATCCCACGGAACGAGCTCGAATCCGAAGGGCGACGCCGCGCCCACTAAGTCCTCCAGGCAAAAGTGTTGACGTGCCGAGCGTCCCTCCCGCCCCCCAGTGTATGCCCCTTGGTGTGGGGAGATTTGAGATTGGAGGGGGGTCTCGATGGGGTGGGCGACGTCGATGTGCCTCCTGATAAGGGGAAGGCGCGGCCGCTGTGTCGCGCTATAGGGCGAAGCGCGCTCCGCCGCCGGCGGCTTCGCTTCTCGCGACTCTGCGCCTTCCGCGCTGTAGCTCCACGTGATGCGGGGGCACTGGCGGGCACTCCGCTCGCATTGCCGCCCTGGGGGCCGATCCGGTGAGCGTCTGCCGCGCCCAGATCGCGCGCGCGGCTCCGCCAGCGGCAGTGCGATGTCGTCTAGGTCGCACTCCTCGTGCTCTGAATCGGCCACTTCGCGCTTCACCGCCGCCATAACCAACGGGGCGAACTGGAAGAGGAGTGGGCTGCCGCAGTCAGCGGCCCGCCTGGGTGGGCCAAATCAGAACGATGGTCGTCTCGGGGTACGGCGGCGTTGACCAAACCGAAGGGCCCCGCCGCGCAGGCGCACCTCCCAGTGCCAGGCGTGGCTCCGCGTAGGTGCGTTCCACGCGGCGTGCAGCCCAACGGCGGCAACGGCGAAGGGCACTCACCATTGATCATGATTTGCGCCGTGCCCGTGGCACGCGAAAACGCAGGCGTTGGGCGGTGGGAGTCCAGGTAACGGCGCAATGCCGGCGCGTTTTATACGGCAGCGCGAGGCCGGTCAGTGATCAACGCGACGCGCCGAGCACGTGCGCGCCCATCGTGTCGGCGCGCTTTAGCATCATGTGATCATACGTGTCCCCGTGCGTTTTTACGTGATCACGCGTCACGGCTCGCCGGGGATTTGCCTTCGGACCCCCACAACGATCACCCCTCGCCCTCCCCCGGCCGCGCCGTGCGGCGATCGCGTACGTATGCACTCTTCTCCACCCGCCCGTTGCCCGACCTGTCGCTGGCACTGCACGATGCTCTAGAGCACGCCGTTTTGGCGTTGACGACGTATGCATTCGCGTCACCTCCACTAAAAATTCTGCGAGGCACGGTAAGCACGTTACTACGTGTCAGCTTCCCATTTTTCTCACTAAACGTAGGATCGTCCCTAGCGACGATATGGATCTGCTGTAGCGCCGTGGCCCACTACAGGTACCGCGCCGCCAGCGTGTTCATGCGGGTCCGCACAAGTCATGCCGAGCAAGTTGGCCAGTAAGCAGGGGTGAGAGGGCTGGCGAGGGCGAAGGCCGGGATAAATTAGAGGAGGGTACGCTTTGGATGGCTGGCCGCTGAGGAGTCCAGCAGGCTGGCGGAGATACGAGCATGTAGGGCGGGTGGGCGAGCCACGGGAAGACGGTCAACTGCGGGAGGGACGGCTGGGGAGAAAGCTCGGCCGACGTCAAGGGCGGGATAGCGCTTCAACTCAAGCCGTCCATCCTCAACTAGTGGCAGGCCGACACACTGGAGAATGCGGCGCTTCGGTCCGACGTGCCCCCGTCCGTGCCGATTCGCGACACATCGTCGTGCTCCTGCGCGGTCGGTTCACGCTGTACGTCTCGATATTGGTGGGCGAACTCCGACATGAAGTGGTTTGACGTCCTTGATGCGGGGAACAGGCTGGTCTTGACGGAACAGGAGGTCCTCCGCAATCCCCAAGCCATCGTCCGGGATGCTGAAGGGCTGGCATTGCATGAGGTACGCATACATGGCATATATACCTAGCCATCGTTCTGCACCACTGCTTCATCGCCCACCTAGGTCGCCCGGAACTCGGTTAGCGTGCCCTCGACCGAGAAATGCGAAGTGTGGTCGAGCCTGCGGAACAGAGTCTCCAAAACAGTGGCAACGAGGTCCGCCGGCAAAGCAGCGACAAACCGTCTTTGTAGTTTGCCTCGACAATGCAACGCCAGACAATTTCGCTCAGTTGCACAATAACTCCCCCTGCAGGACGTACGAACTCAAGGGGGCGGCGTGGAGGTTGGCACCTGCACGAACCGGCGGTACAATCAAGTATGCCCTTGCGAGTTGCTTGCAGGCTATGGCACCGAACCGGTAATTACGCTGATTAGCCGCAAGCCATCGTCTGCTGACGGCTCCGTCGACATCAGCTTCGAGCACGCGGGCGCAGGAGGGGCGCGCGAGTGGGCGGTCGCCACGGTGAGGGGGCGCAGAGGGCGGACAAAGAAGTGGCCCAGAGAGCGATACCACGCAAGAGGACGGGGAGCGTGGACCAGTGGCTGAGTATACGGGCGAGCGAGAGGGGGGGCAGTACTGCAATGTACATTGCTGTAGGTAGCATTATAATCGACGGCAGTTTCCTAGGCAGACCTGCCTGTAGCTGCTCAACTCTGCTCACGCACCGATCAGTGTTTCTCTAGGCGGGTTGGGGCCGGCTGTACTTCAAGGGCGTATCTCAAACGTCTGGCCCAGTCGACCGAGAGCTGCCCGCAGCGTAGTCGTGGACTGCTGCTGCCACGACTTGCTTCGGGCATGTCTGGGTACGGTTCCGGCTGTGGCACAAAGGGACAGCAGCCATCCTGCATTGTCGCCTACTTTCGCCCTGTGGCACAAAGGCCTGGCAGCCATTTATAGGCTGCGCGATGGTTGGGTTTCGTACCCACGGTTCAACATCTACAGGGCATGTCTGCCGCTCAAGCGACGTCCGACCTACCAGGCACCGATGCAACCTTCGAAGCAGAAGTCACCGCAGCGGGGAGAATTCTGCTGTCGGAACTGAACATAACCCTCGATTCAGTGATAGGCTACCTGGTGCGCTCCGTCATGAACATGGTCCCATAGCTCCTTCTGACGACCCGCTGCCCATTGGACCAGAATCCCACTACGCGTGACTGCCATGCGGACTCTGACTCTGACTCTGACTCTGACTCTGACCGGAGGTCTGTCTTTATCCTTGACTGGGATTTATACGTGAGGGACCCTGTGTCTCCTCCGCCACCGCAGCGCGATTTGTGTGTATGTCTTTCATGCAGACGTGCCCCGATATTGAATATATGTCAGAATGCCGGCCTCCGCGTTCGCATACAGTTCGCTCTACGACTCCATGGACTGTTCGTATCGCCCATTTTCCAGGAGAGGCCGTCATTGATGAAAGCCCTACAGCTCATATGCTCAAGTATGGGGGCACATATCGCGGCACGATCCAGGTGCTATTGATAAAGACAGTCGACGTGGGTGATTTGATACACTTTCCTGCATCGGATAGCACAGACCTGATGCTGCTATGTTTCAAGCTCGTGGGCCAACCAGATTTGATGGCGATCAAAGTATACGGCGACGAGCCGCAGGACTGGTGCGCTGAGTGGTGCAAGGACTGCAACGCTGAATACGCCATAGTCTACTTCGAGTGGTGCGCGCGGTGCCAAGTGTGGGAAGCGGGCCGACGCGCACAACGCATGCGACCGGCGCGGAGGCATTCAATTTGATGACCACGGCATGCGTTGCGCGCAACGTCCAAGGGCTGCTGTCAGCGATTCCGTTTTGTTATCCATACCTCCTTCCCCCATGGTCTCTAGCACCACTCGCGTCTGTCGTCTGTTTATTCCGCTGCCTCTGCCGTTGTACAATCATGTAAAATATCTTGTTCTCTAATCTTACTCGTTCACCGACACCATGAGTGCCCCCGAGTCGCGTCCGCGTGCGACTCGGGGTGTCGATATGTTTTCGAATTCGACATAAGGGCGTCGCGGCGCTAATGACGACTTACGTCATCCTCTCACGCCCCTCGACCTCAGCCCGACGACCTGCAGCCCTTCGTGCTACATATGCGGCGCTCAGCGCTCAACGCTCACAGCGTCCACCATCCCGCAGCTGCTGCAGCTCCGTCGCAGCGCCGCCGTCAATGTCCGTCCGAAGCCCTCCCGGAACGAAGGGACCCGCCAGCTGGCGGGTCGAAGCACGGCGGCTTAGCCCGCGAGGACGTCCGCCAGGTCGACATGGGGGTCGACATAGGGTGTCGGCGCGACGAATCCCTGCGGAACGTTGGCAGGATGTCGCCTGTTTGCGGGCGATCTGTAAGTGCGCTCTCTCTGCGTGTTCTAACGCCAAGCTGACCTATATGCAGGAGACTGTCGCCGACGGCGGATTCGCCGCCACCCGAAATCGACCTACAGGGCCAAGACGACGACCACCCCCGCTTCACGCCCTCGACTGTGGACGCTGTCGCCCTCGATGGATAGCAAACACCTTACCACGTACTTGCCGCGCCGGATGCGCTGGCGAAGGCGACGCTTCATGCGAAGGTACCCAACTGCAGCCCGTCCGTCGCCCCCGTCTCGCTCCGGTCGTCCGTTTTGGTTTCGACCATGCGTTGATGACCGGATGGTGAGCTCCCGTTCTCGAGAGCGGTGGAGCGGCCTTACTCAATCCTCGGACCGTCCGATATTCCTATCACGTTCCATCCGGTTGAACGCATCACGGCGCGGACCGCGTACACTGAGCTCCTTGGTAGCTCCTGCGGCCCCGTCAAAACTCGGCAGGCGTTGTCTTTCGTACGACCACTCGGCTTGACGTGACCTGCTGGTTGGCAGCAGGATAGAGCTGAGCCGGCTAGTGACGATGTCTTAGTACTCTTGTACCCCACGTAGCCTTTGCTGGGTATCGTCCCTGGTGACGCGTTCTCATCCTCCGCTTGACAAATCCAGCAGTGTTGTCGTGCACTGGCCACCATCTGGGTGAGGTCGGCCCCGTCGCGCTTCACACATTCCCGAAGCACCCAGGCCGTCCAGGCGAAGGGTCCACTCAGCCAGTGGAACGCGTGCTTTGCGCTCTCCAGTCACACATACATGGCAACCGGGCGCTCTCGACCTGGCGACCTGTCCAGGCGACTGTCTTTCACTCACCGTCGCGTCGCCGTGTCGCCTTACACTGGTTTCACTTCGATGAAACAAGGGGTGCAATGCGTCTCCATCACCGGCGTCGTGTTAACGTTTCTTTTGCAAATCGGCGACCGCACTGCCACGTTCCCCTTCGTCTGCTGACACGTCTGGCCAATGAGCGCCTGCCTTCGCGCAGTGGCTGAGCTCGCGGTCGGCCACTTCCTCAGTTGCTCTTGCATTGTTCAATCCTACCTATTGTGGTCGCGTTACAATGGGCGGTGTGTGTACACGCGGGAAGTGTCTATTCTTCGGATACTGCCTCTTCAGGCGTGAAGTGGTTATGGTCGCTGTCGCTATAAAGTCGTCGATTTCTCGACTTTCTGCACTCGAGTCTCACCTCCCTTGCTTGCTGGTCCCCTTCGAACTTTCATCGCTGTTACTAGTCCGGGTCATGTTCGAACCGAAGAAGCCCGTTGACTTCGAGATTGTCAATACACCTGCTCCTGCGATCGAACTGGAGAGAGATGTACGTTGGATCGTTCGTATATATCAAGTATCATTCGCTTACATGCATTTCCAGACCCCGGACAACATGCGACCGCACTTCGTGGTTCTGAGACATCGATACCTCCCCCGCACACCTGGTGTTGCAAAGTTTGTAATGGACCTTCTGGACCCCTGCGTTTGACTCACGTCCCATTATAGCTACGCCACCGCTGCCGCGCAGCGGATGTGCCAAATTCGCGGTTCAAATGGCTTTCAGTACACTCTCCTCGGGGCCCAGGTATGTGGCTATTACGTGGATATATTCACTTATTAAATCGGCTTTCTGCGCAACTCAAGGAACCGTCGAACCGCCCCAGTGGCAAGTCTGCGGTCTGCCCTCCAGTTCCACAAGATGCCCCTGTGCGTCACGAGAAGCGAGCTACGACACCAAGTGGTGCAGCAGGGTATGTCCCGAGCTCCATATCTATGCTGCCCGCTGCTGAAAGTCGTGCATCCAGCAACGAGGGCGACTCCCATGCGCGCGAAAGCACTCCGTCCCCCGATGACTCGCTACCGACACCGGCGCTGCCCCACGGGTCCGTTCTTCCACGCGGAGTCCAGTATTTTGAACGCAACATGTACAGGCGTACCGAAAAAGTGTGCTGGTACCAGTCCTCTGGCGCGAAACTGATCGCAGCGCCGCCGGACAAGCCAGCTGCCCAAGAAGGGAGTCTCTACATCCATGACCGTGGCGACAAGGAAGATCAGCAGATATGGCTGTGGACCAACGGCAAATGGGTCGCCGTATCGCCCAATTGTGCCCACCCAACTCTCAGCGATTACAGATTGAAACTCACGCCCAACGGTGAGCCACGGTGGGTCACAGCAAAGACGATCACGACGTACGAAGGTCGTCAGAAGAAGCGCCTGCGGGAGCATTCTGTGATCGATCCGCGCTGACCACAGCCATGGACGTACTCTCCGTTTTCGCACCCAGACTGCGTCGTGGGCTTTCCAACTCGTGTTTTCCTTTAGATCCTCCCCTCCGTCTGGTATGCCCTCCATGCCCCATCCGTTTGTTATGCCCTCCATGCCCCCTCCATATTTTATGCCCTTCTATCGTCTAGTCTATGGTACCCTTTGTTTTATCCTCCGTCATACAATCACATTTCTCGCGACGCCATACGAGTGATCATGCGAGCTTGGAGTGATCCCGTGTGAAGCGGAGAAGCGGACCTTTACGGAAGTCGTGCGCAACATGTGGCGGAAACGAGGATGCGCACTGATCTACATCAAGCGCTCCGGCGTCACCAGAGGCCCCCTTCTCTTGCAGCGACAACTCCCTTTCATCTTCAGTGGCTAACGGAGGACACAATATGCTCTACGCTTTTGCTGTAAGTACCCTGGCTCTGCTCATTGCTGAATGTCTGACACTCTCCATAGCGCCGCATCATATTTTTCGTTCTCATCGCCGTACTGTTTGCGGGCGCAGAGATTCTGCTGTGGCACGGATTCCCCAAACCGCATATTCGCGCCCATGTCGATGGAAACGCCATCGCGGGCTCGATTCAGCATAAGATCCTGCAGTCTTTGTACACCAATACTAGCAGACGCGCTGTCTGCTCATTGAGGCCACTCGACCGCCTGAACAAAGAATGCCGCCTTCATCCACCCCCGTTCTCCAAAGAGACCTTTGTGGCATATTATCAATTGGTCACCGACGTTCAAGAGGAGTGGTTGAACGGCCTAGCTGCCCAGGTGCGTAATAAAGCCGTCAGACGTCTCGTTGGGTAACCTTGTTGTGCAGGTGAGGGGCAGGTATGAGCTCGCGCTAGCGGTCTTTACCGCAACGAAGCAGATTTCCCAGTCAAGGGACGGTTTTATCCACGCCGATGACCACTCGAACGGATCCCAGTCGTTGTCTGCTCCAGTGGCTGCGGTTGTCGAGAGTGCAGACACAGCGATCATGAAGCTGGTCGGACTCACTGTCGACATCGAGGCATTACTTCGCGGGTATGCCTATTCCCTCCAGTCTATCAGTGGGACGTGACAATGCTTACGGCTCGCTAGGACTATTGGACTGCGATCCTTGCACATCCGCTTGTTGACATCAATCCGCGATCATGTCGACTCCTCCGCTTCCCGGGTTCCGTACTTCTTTGTCTTTGACATCGACGTGGACAGAGTCCTATCCAATGTCTTCTGGTCTACCTACGACGCTCTCACCCGACCAGGAGACCAACTCCTGCATGACGGGGAGCTCGTCTTATCCTCCTTAGGCAACCTCGCCATGGAGCTCGAGCGGCTGATGAACTCGACCATGGATCACTGCGGTAATGCAGCCCCGCCGAAACGGCCGAGCATTATGGCTAGTCCCTTCCCCTCGTCGCCATCACCTGTGGCATCTCGCCAGCGCGCCAACTGCCAGCACATGGCGCAAACCATCAACCTTGCCGTGGTGGAGATTGAGCGCGGTGTAGAGGACGTCTTAGGCCTCTTGCTGTTCGTGCATGAGGTGGAGAACCTATACGAGATGGTGAACGCCGTAGATGCTCGTCTACGGGCTGGTGAAGCCTTTGAACGCTCGTTCCAGGATCTACTAGAGGATCTCGTTGCTGGCACACCCGCACTTCATATCACCAACGATAACTTGCGCCGACTACATGCCCAGTACACTTTCCTAACCGCTCGTCCTTTGTTCTTTTAACTACGTATGTTGTACTGCTGAATCTCCCCTACCTCACCATCCATTGGCTTCGTCGTGTTGATCACTCTCCTCATGCCACGTTTCTATCATTGATGTCTCCAAAACATGTATATATGCGATTTCTCTGGCTGTACATCGCACTATTGGAGTTCGACCCGCCCGTATGCGCTCACGCGTCCGGCGCGCCGCGGCCGTGCTTACAGATAAGTGCACTTCCACCGGCTTGGCTCGCGCGTATTGACGAAACCCGAGGCGGACTGGGCCGTTCCAGGAGACCCGTCGGGCGGGCAACTCGGGGCCCTAGAACCACGCGGTCCTGCGTAGGCGGAAGGAAGGAAAGAAGCGGGACTCGAGGGAGTCGCAGTTATGGGCGACGCTGAGGGCGAGTATACTCGGTCTCTAGTCGCATCCTCGTCTGGCCGGTAGCTGGGAGCGGGTCTACAAAGGGAGGTCACGAATCTACAGTACGTACGGCGCGCGAGCAGGCGCCGCCGGTCAGTGTGCGAGGACCCAAATTTGAACCTGCTCCGACCCGCGCGCCGTGAAGCGGTGGATCATGCGTAGATCCAGTGCATGTGTGTCCTCTTCCCTTTCTCGGACATGGGTGGCGCGTTTAAACGCCCACACTTGTGCAGACCGGCGTCCGCCGCGTTTCAGCACGTTGTTGGCTTGCTGCAGTCAATGCTACTGTATGCTGAGTTCATCACGACGCTGGCTTACCCCGTTTCACGCCCTCCGCTCCCGCAGCCCTGCATGCGGACTGGACCACTGACTCTGCGTCCTGGTCATGGCTCCTTAGACTACGCGTCCGGGGCCAACTAGTCTCATACCAAGACCCTCCACACGGCACACGTGAGGAGTTTGTGTCGAAGCTACGGGGCCAACAATCTTTTCCGGACACCCTAGTATTGTCCGATTTGGCGCGCGAGTTCCACGTACGGCGACATCCGCGACATAGGGCGACTAGAGACGGCACGTAACAACTTTGGACGGCATAGCGACGATACGGTACATAGGGCGACATGGGATGATATGGGACTCAGACGGCATAGGACGACATGGGACGGCATAGGATGACATTGGACAACATAGGGCGACATGGGACGACATACGACTGCGGTTGGACGACAAGCAAACCCGCGAGACAGCATACCACGAATTCGGCGGGTAGCATCACTCTTCAGGGATGCCCACCTCCGGCGAGCTGCGGTGACGAGCGACCTCCCATTGGCCGGATCCCTCGAGACCAGGACGCACTTTGGCCGCATTCAACCTCTCCAGCCCGCGAGAAAGCACGTCGAGCACTATCTCCGGAGATGGTGCGGTCGCCATACCGCCCTGTGCGACGACTGCCCGTAACTCCTCCACCTCCCGTTGCATGCCCTCCAACGTCGTCTGGATGCTCCTCACGAAGCGTAGCGAGCGTTCGGTGTATTCGCCTACACGATCTAAGAGGCGCATGTTGTAAGCCAGAATGCTCCTTCGTCGTTCGTTGAGTCGCAGAACAGATAGCAGCTGCCCCTGGAATTCATGTTCGGCCATACGCGCTTCTCGTTTCTCGTCCGCAAGAACTGCACCGATGGACACGAGGTCGGCATCGAGGCCGCTGACCTTCATCAGCGAGGCGCCGCTAGCGTACATCAAGTCCCGTAGGACTCTTTCGTAAGTCTGTACGGCCGTGTCGAACACCTGCGAGAATTCCGGAAATTCGCAGATTTCCTCGATACCGGAGCCCAGCGTCGAAATTTTCCGGCAAGCTTTGCCGGAATGCGGCAGCGACGATTGCGGAGGGCTGCGAATGAGGCGGTACATGTGCGCATTGGTCGACGTAATCCTGTCAGGATATGTGAGTGCGGTTCACTCATTGTATGAAGCAGCTCTACTCACTGATCGAATGCCGTCCCGATCTTGGCGGACAGCCGCTGCAAATCACGACTGACGGTGAGTGCGTCTTCGGCGAACTGCTGGATGAGACCGGCCAGTTCTGCATTGTAATCGAGGTCGCTAGAGCGGATGACGTTGATCAAGTCCACCGATAGGACGCGAGCCTCCGTCAAGTCCATAACGATATCCGCATTTCCTCGCGACTCGACCGAGATGGCCTCGAATCCAGCAACCTGCGATTCGATAAGTCGAGGCAGCGCCGCCCACACGGTAGTGTTTCGCTCGGGCTGCTGGCAGAAGTGTGTTGTCGAAATCAAGCTGAACGTGCAAATGATCTTCGAGTCCGCGAGGACCTGGTTGTACAGCGCGAATGCGACGTAGCAGAAAGTGACTACGATCACTGGGAGTTGCATAAACAGGAAAGTCTGACGCATGTTGAGCGGCGATGTCCATGATACAGGGTTCCATGGGACCGTCACTTACCATTCTGTTCGAATGACGGGTGTCAGTGATCGCTCTACTATACTGGCGGAGCCACTGGACTGACCTGCAATGTCCTCGATACTCAGAGTGCCGTTTACGCATGAAGATGGCGGTTGTGGTTGAGAAGAGACTCTCCGATCGCTTGCCTTTGTATGTCGCGTGCACAACGCATGCCTAAATTTCGCAACAAAACCTGGGAGCGATAAGCCCCGCGCGTCCGACACCACAAGTCTTTTTCACGCATAACCTCCCTATGATTATTTCCTTTCACAGAATGTACGCACTTGTCTGACCACGACTCTGTATTAGTTTCAAGCCTTGGATTAGCACAACGCAAGGGTGAGCATCGGCAGGCATGACTGCCTCCTCGTGGGACGCCACTGACCAGCGACACAAAGGGCTTCGAAGGTCAAAAGGATGCTGCGGCTGCCCTCTCTCTCACTCTTGTTCATCGTTCATATCCGCCGTCAGCACTTGTGGTCCCATCCCTAGTTATGCCCAGCCTATCTTTTAATGGAGTAAGTGCCTCAACAGATGTACGCTCTGTAAGGTATTGAACCTCCCTTTATCTCACCTTCAGGATATTCTCCTGCTGTCGGCGTTGTACTACCCAAGCGATGGACTGCTCGAACGATCCGTCCCCGTCGTGACGACGTTCGAAGGAGGGAGGGCCTGGGTCGACGTCGAGCGCATCATGACGCGCGACTTCCAGATCTTCTCCCGGACTATAGCAGTTCGCGACGGCCAGAACAAGCTGCATCGTTTCACGCTGTTCTGGCAGACCCGAACGCACGACAGGCATCCCCGTGCTCTTCGCATCAACGAGCCGGCAAAGGCAGTCGTCCCTGGACATATGTTCCGGGGTGATCTCCTCATCATGCGTATCGGTGTACGCCGTCCATATACGCATCTCACAGACAGCGCGGAGAAGGACTTTGCACGGGCGGCCCTTCGAAAGTACGTACACCCGACATACTTCGCGTCCGGCATGCGCTAATAAGTACGACACCCACCAGATTCCTGATTACCGCGACGCGTATCACGGAGGTGCGCCAGACGAACAACAGCGACATCCGCACGATCCTGCCAGTAGACCTGGACGGGCTTGTCTAATTCCGGCTACTACTGCGTTGCGCGCAACGTCCAAGGGCTGCTGTCAGCGATTCCGTTTTGTTATCCATACCTCCTTCCCCCATGGTCTCTAGCACCACTCGCGTCTGTCGTCTGTTTATTCCGCTGCCTCTGCCGTTGTACAATCATGTAAAATGTCTTGTTCTCTAATCTTACTCGTTCACCGACACCATGAGTGCCCCCGAGTCGCGTCCGCGTGCGACTCGGGGTGTCGATATGTTTTCGAATTCGACATAAGGGCGTCGCGGCGCTAATGACGACTTACGTCATCCTCTCACGCCCCTCGACCTCAGCCCGACGACCTGCAGCCCTTCGTGCTACATATGCGGCGCTCAGCGCTCAACGCTCACAGCGTCCACCATCCCGCAGCTGCTGCAGCTCCGTCGCAGCGCCGCCGTCAATGTCCGTCCGAAGCCCTCCCGGAACGAAGGGACCCGCCAGCTGGCGGGTCGAAGCACGGCGGCTTAGCCCGCGAGGACGTCCGCCAGGTCGACATGGGGGTCGACATAGGGTGTCGGCGCGACGAATCCCTGCGGAACGTTGGCAGGATGTCGCCTGTTTGCGGGCGATCTGTAAGTGCGCTCTCTCTGCGTGTTCTAACGCCAAGCTGACCTATATGCAGGAGACTGTCGCCGACGGCGGATTCGCCGCCACCCGAAATCGACCTACAGGGCCAAGACGACGACCACCCCCGCTTCACGCCTCGACTGTGGACGCTGTCGCCCTCGATGGATAGCAAACACCTTACCACGTACTTGCCGCGCCGGATGCGCTGGCGAAGGCGACGCTTCATGCGAAGGTACCCAACTGCAGCCCGTCCGTCGCCCCCGTCTCGCTCCGGTCGTCCGTTTGGTTTCGACCATGCGTTGATGACCGGATGGTGAGCTCCCGCTCTTGATGAGCGGTAGAGCGAACCTGCTCGGCGAGCCTCAAGTCACGCTGTCGGTGGAGCGGTACCGTAGGAGGGCCATGCTCGGGCGTGAAGAAGAGGTGCGCGGTGTGAAATGGAGTCTTTCATTCGGTACTAACTCGTTTCCTCGATGGACTGCAGGCCCCTTACCACGTACCACGTACCTGCCGCGCCGAATGCGATGGCGAAGGCGACGCCTCGCGCGAAGATATCCGAACTGCAGCCCACACCTCGCCCGCCCATCCGTCGTCCCCGTCTCGCCCCGGTCGTCCGTTTTGGTTTCGACTATGCGTTGATGACCGGGTGGTGAGCTCCTGCCCGTGACGAGCGGTAGAGCGAACCTGCTCGGTCCTTTCTATCTCCCGGTCCCCTTCGTCCCCTTGCTCATGCCTCTGTCGCTCACCGCCCGGCGCGACTGATTACTTTTGCTCTGACGATTCTTCACTTGCGCCAATCCGCCCTAAAATTCCGTGCACGTTCTTCGAGCGCCGAAGCACGCCCGCCTGTCAGGCTCACACACACATCGTCAGGCTCGTTCACTTTTAGCTCGAACGCTTACGGGGGCGGCGCGTCACTTCCTACTGCGTCTTCATACCGGTCACCGTCTCTTCCCTGCATGGTCCTACCGCCTTCTCTTCGACTTCCATCTCTTGTATCTTTGTCTCCCTCTCCCACGTCGGTGTCGGTGTCCATCTCCACGCCTTCCCGTACGTGAGTATTCATCTCGGCATCGATGTTGACTGTGCGTCGGATTGATGTCTGAATGTAACATTGCTCTGCAGGTGTATGATGGCTCTGCGCAGCCAATAATGTCCGACTCGTCCGAGTCTGTGCTACCACCAGCGTACGCCGACTCCCAGGCGTCGGCTTTCGAACAGTCGATCTGTCCGCCACCATACGGCCCTCGACTGTTGTCCAGGCCGTCTACTGTTACCTCTGCACTGTCGCCGATACAGTCACTCAGGCTTGCGAGTTCGCTCGTTGACCTCGCTGCTCCGTACGACGACGACCCCACCCCCGACCCAATCGTACCGCCAAACGACGCCTGCTTTTGGATCCGAACCTAGATGTCCCGCTACACGATGAACTGCTGCCTGAAGTGTGTCCCGCACTGCCATTCGACCTACAAAAGTTGTCGCCAGCACGCTCTCACCTGGGGATCCGGCATTCCTTGGCGGCCTCGACCTCGTAGCTTCACTCTTCAACGCATGGGTGGATGTTTGTTATGCCGCCCCAGTCCTTGAACATAGTGCTCAGCCGGAGAGGACTGCCACATTATTCTCGCCGACTCCGTCGGGCCACCCACGCGTCCTGTGCCCCGCACTGCCCGTCATGTTTCTGCGCTCAGCCCTGGACCAAGGCCAGCGTGGGTACTGTGCCGGGCCGTAATATTTCACCTTCGCTGCCAGCGGCGTGGGCGAGAAACTCGTCGCACGTCGGACTCGGCGCGTCATCGCGTCGTAGTGATTACATACCACTTCTTTTTCTTTTTCTGCTCGTCTCGCTGCATCGCTGAACGCATTTCTCTACGGACACGTACGATACGAATCCCCACTATACTATCGACTCTACCCGCGCGCTTGCGATGAACCAGAAGGCGGAGACGCAGACCATCCGTAGGACACCGCAGAATCGAGTGCCGCACCTGCTGGGGGCCCAGGTCGCGATCGTAATATGTACTGTTCGCAGCTACCAACCTCACGCCGAGTCTACGATCTGCGGTTCGAAGCCGGAAGGGCACTCAAGGGACGTCCGTCGCCCATAAGGGTGTTCATGTGGCTGCTGTACAATAGTTTCCTTTTTCGGTATCATTCCTTCCCGTTGTGTGTGGGTTTGTCGTCGCACGCACGTCTCCTCTCCGACAGCGGCAGGGATGCATTCCTCTGTGAGCAACTCTTGCATAGGTATTACGACCGATTTTCTGACCAACATCCTATCGATCGCAACCGCCATAGTCAGGTGCAAGGTTGGGTCGTGTGATATGGTCAACGCGATGACGTGGCAGTGGCACACCTGGCGTTGTGCTTGGGCAGATCTAGGCACCGCACAATGCAAGTTCTTAGACTTAAGAACGATACGCGGCCCCAATGACATCCTAGGTCTTTACGTCGACTTCACGGCGACACACATAGTAGGCGATCCTGCACGTCCGTGTATTTCTCGTCGTGTCACCGTCGTGTACTAAGGCAGTCCACATTCATTGCAGTGCCTCTATTTGAGCAATGATTCCTCAAGCATTGACGGGTCGCGGTCCCGACTGCTCTAATCGCACTGCGGCAGGCTGCCCTACCAAGACCTTGGATGTCGGCATCGCCCCTTGCGCCACTGAACTCGACCGGATCCCGCAGCTCGCAGCCGGAGCTGTTGTCACCGATCCCGCTGACTCCCGCCCCGCTGCAAATGAAGCGGACGGCGATGTAGCTCTCCTCATTATACCGGGCCCGGGGCCGAAATCGCAGCAAGAAATTGATGCGTTCCTGCAGCCGCTGATGAGCGAGATTTGTCAGCAAGTCTTCGTTCTGTTTTCGCCGGAGGTGTTGCTAATGCTCTATTTGACAGCCACTGATACGGGGACCTCAGGCTGATAAAGGCGGACGATGAGTTAGTCTCCCATCAGTAGGACGTGGGCAAGATAACAAAGAAGCAGGACGGTTCGCGATGCGTCCTACGTACTGTACGTGATTGTTGAGAGTCACAGCGACCCACGGCTGACTAGACGTATTACGATGGAAAGCCTTGAATGTGGTGATAACGAAATGAACGAAATGCGTAGAGGCTGGGGGGTTGATAGAGGCTTGACAAACGTAAATGGAATGGCATGCAGAGGGGCACCATTATAGGAGGTGCGTCGGTGCGGCATGGGATTCAACAGGCGCATCTACGACAATGAGACAGATCTAGTGAGTGCAAATCTAAGCCTCAGTCCGCTCGCGATATGTCGCCACCCTGCACACAGACAGAGGAGGGCTCGTCAGGTACATCTTCAGATCGCCATGAACCTTCTTCTTGACGAAGAGACGGAGGGACCAAAAATCTTCTGTCTACAATGTGATTAAGAATTCTGCGCAAGGGAGTCATTCGTAGCTCTTACCACATGAGGAACTCGCACAACGTAAACTTCCTTCGCCCCTTCCAACTTGTCGTGGTAGTGGTCGTACAAGTAATCTTTGCGGGTAGTCAGGCCTCGTCGCAGACGGATAATTTGGGGCGCACATACTGTAGATAACTGGGTCGAGTTCATGGCTCAGTTCTTCATCATTGTCGACGACATACTGAAAGTCTACGAAGAGCGAACTGCCTTCGTCCGTGTTCCCGTCGTCATGTGCGTCATTCCCTCCCACGGGAGTCCTCACATCTGTACCTTGCCCAACAGTACCACCTTGCTGGTCATATTCGGCGTCCGACTCGTCCTCACCTCGCAGTCGCGCATTGCCACTCAAGTCGTTCTCCGATAGTTGGCCATTGAGTGGCAACGTCGACATGTTGAGCGTACCAGGTAGGTCAAGGGCCTGCGGAGCTCCGTCGTTGTGGGACTGACTATCCACGTTACCATCCCATGGAAGATTCTCGTCGTCGTCCGATTCGCAGACATCGAAGGACAGCCTACTGAAGTCGCCCGACGAGCTTGTCCATTCAATGATGAACGCTGGACCTCCATCTAGCTCAAAGTGGCGCTACGAACAATAATAGGCTATAGCTGGGTTCACGTCATAGTGATTGCCACTCACGATACGAGCACGGACCTCGAGGTAGAGGGCATCCCCCGGCAAGGCGGAGGGGCCCAACACCGCATACGTAAGGATAACCCTCTCGTCAGACACGTCTATGTCATCGAATACAGCGGACATGGTGTGGTGGCGGAATTTTGAGACAGACGTAGTATGCAGATGTGGACGTACTTGAGCCTTGCGAGCGTGGCGACTCGAAATTTTGCGTTGTGCCTTATCTAGTGCATCCCCCCGCCCCAGTCAGAAGAGCTGCCTTTTCTTTTGCTTTTCTTCTGCATCGAGTTAGAGCCATTAATGGCGTTCAATAACGTTAAATGTTAAATGTTAAACGTTAAACGTTAAGCGCTTGCGCGCCTGTGGTCAAAACGCAAGGACGTTACATGTTACACGTACGACGAGTACTACAAGGGCGACCTGCAAGTTGCTGCCCACTCGTTCCCACTGTCTTTTCCTTGCTGTCCCCTGCGACACCGCCGTGTCTCGGGTCGTTCTTGCTCGTCGCACTCTCTCCTGTGTCGTCTGTGTTCGCCTGCGCCGCTTGCTCCCCGTGTCGACATGCTGCGCTGCAAGATGGCACTTCCTCCGTCCTCTTCCAACCTGGAATCGAGCCTGACGGTCATAGGTGAGCACTTAGTGCAGACTGCAGAGGAGCTGACCGGATTTCTTCCGGGGGGACACATTGCTCAGCTACACCGACGTGAGCGCCAGACGCAGACGACGAATGAGCAGCGCGTAGTACGTACCGGCATAACAAAGTGAAGCCGAGCCCGTGTCGTCAATGACGGACCAATTAATGACGCGGCAGACGAGTAACGGTCGGCTCGTCAGACAGTCTCACCTTTTATACAGCGCACCATGGCAGTCAGTCGCCGATTTTACGCTGCACAACACATGCGCCGAGACGCGGCAGACGCAAGTGAGAAGCAATTTTATCGCCAATATCCGTGTGCAGTGCTCACCTGGCCGTTGCAGTGCTCCTCCGCGCCCCTCTTCCCTTGTCCGCTCAACATGTGGGACCCTCTCCGCGCCTTCGTTCGCTCCTGTCTATGCCCTCCGATTGCCATCCATCCGAACGACCGCTCTCACCCTCTCTGTCTCGTTCGCCGGATGCCGATCCGTGCGTGTCGGCCCACGTCCTTGGCGACGTTCGTGTGTGCATGACGCGTGCTGCGTCGCAAGCCGATACGTGGCGGCTTCGATAGTCGTGGTAGAGTGGGGAGCGTTGTGGTCGAGTAGGGACCGTCGTGGTCGAGTAGTGACCGCTCGGGACGGTCGTGTGCCATGGCTGGCGCAGCGGGGGCAACGGGACAGAGATCAGAGGCCGCAGACGATAGAAGAGAGGCGATCAGGGCGCATCGAGGGCACAGGGAAGCCGTGCCGCGGATAGCACGACCACACGGTAAGGACATCGTCATCTATTGTCATTCATCTGAAAAACCTTCTGAAAATCGTGAGCAGCGGCCTACGAGTCTGTCGGAGTATGCTGAGCTCATTTGCTCCGTCGGATGCATCGTATCGCCGACGGGAGGATGGCTGCGGTTACCTGTGTCCGGATCGCTCGCCACCCCGAACTGGCACTACAATGGAGGCGTGGGTGAGTAAATGTGGACATGCGTGGTGTGCGGATGGGACGAACGGCGTCGTCCCGCCCCTGCTCCCCCCGCCTGAGCACGCCAGTCCGCCTGTCGTGTCGGTGCTGCGCGCCGTCGGGCTTGCGAAGGATCTTGCCCTTTAGCTCTTCTTTTCATATATTCTTTCAGCTCGTCGCCGGTCTTTTGTGTGCCAGTGTCTCGCATCAGCATTCGCGCGTGTTATGCGCTCAGCACTGGCACTTACAATACCGCATCCACATTCAGGACCGACTTCGACCCCGGCCGACCCGACATTCAGCTGCTCGGTGTACTCGCTCTCGCTGTTGTGCCTGATCCGCCCATTATGGGCGATCGTTCTCACTGTCGCGGGTCACAGTCGGTGCGGGCGAGTTCACGGTTGGCGACATGGTCGAGAATGGATCTGGGTTCGTGGAGTGTCGTGGAAACGGCTCACAGTAGGTTCACACTCTTGTCCAGCATCGACTGTCCTCACATACATACCATCAGCCAAAGACAGCTGCAGTCGACAAGCCAGATAGCGGTAATCACCCTGCAGAAGGCTGGACGTGTCGCATTTATGCCGCAGAAAATCGGCTCGATCTACTTATCAATAAAGGTAGACACGACGCTCATTCCTGCTTGCGTACGACGCTCATGACGATACCGTTGATTTTGCGAAGTGCAAGTCGAACCTGCGCGGCGCCATCATCGAGGGTTGTCCCTGCGACGTCGCACCAGTTCTTGGCCAAGATGGACAAAGACCACTCGTACTGTACCTCGACATAGGGGGATTCAGTCGGTCTAATCCATGAACGAAATTGATCGGTATGTTTCGCCATCGTCCTACTGCCTTCAATGTTGTACAACATGCCCCTGACTTTAAGGTCTTATGCCACATGTTCTACGTCCATCTATCCTACATATTAGTGCGTGTAGTATGTTCTCTTCCGTCGCCGCGCAAGCAATATCAATACGACAAGAATTGTATCTCAGAGTAATAACAATCAGTACAGTAAATGAAACTGGAGGCATGATGAAGCGGAGCTACCGATCTCGGGATGCACGCGCGCAGCTACGTACACAAAGGTGAACAACCGGGCCACGCCCAATGACGTCAAATAAGTGGTAGCGGACGGGAGGGGTAAGAAAGGTAAGGTAGGGAAAGAGACGGTCGCTATCCGGTGCGACATTCAAACGACCGATGGGCCTAACCGATGCCAGTGAGTAACGCTGCTCAGCAGGCGCTCGCCCGCCGCAAAATTGCTGCGCTCGGGCGGACGCCGTGACTGGTCTGGAAGGCTCGGGAAGTCCCGAACTCAGTACTCGGCGTTGGTTTCAGCAAGCGCCGAGGACTCGTCCTCCTGCTGGTACTGCTTCAGTAAACCGTCCTGACACCGAGGGTGCGTCGAACTAACAGGAAGTGGACATGGTAAGTTCACGATGTTGTCCAGCACTGGGAGGCGGGTAAACTCTGAGTTCCCCGCTGTCTCGATAGTACGCGATGAAGACTCTGGGTCCCATCGCAGGCCACGGTGTGTCTCTCTTCGCCAGAAGGGACAGCTTGTCGACCTGCCCTCCTATAATCACAGACCCCCCTTTTCTGCAATGCCGACGGAAGGGAGTCGCCGAAGGCAGCGGACCCTGCTCCACTAATTGTCACGCCGCAAAATATCGGTACGGGCCATCTTCTCGAATGCGATACCACTCATTGCGGCAACATAGCCAGGATCACTTGGCGCGACGCCGTAGCAGCCGCTAAGACATCGGACAAGAAATATGTCATTACCTCGCCCAATGTCGACTACGTGCCCCTGCCCGTTTTGGGTCGGATCGAGGTGTTCGTGAGGTCGGACGGACGATACGGGATCGAGGATCCGTTCCAGCATCCTCAGCTCTTCGCATCAAGTTGGCCGCATATGGTCATGATCCTCCGCCGTCCAGAGGATCCTAGTGATCCCCGCCAAGCCATATGGTGGACTCCGAGTGCGATTGACTTTTCACGCTTCGACAACTGCGTCGTCTTCGGTCTCGGGAAGCTACTCAAGGAGTGTCTCAAGCCGCTGGCTTCCTTAGTGGCCTCCTGCAGCGAACGCACTTCCCGCTACTGCTTCGAGCACAAGCCCCCGCGATGCAGGATTCATTATCTCGAGAGTTCGATGCGTCTAGCTATGGGCCGTCTACTCGACATACCCGCCACCTTTCGCGATACTGTCATCCAAGTAGCAAGCCTGCAACGGTTTTGGCTCGAATGCATGGCATGGCTGGACTGGATGGAGTGTTGTCAAGATGCAGCGGTCGTGGCTGACATGAAGAGACCGTGTGCCGTCAAACGCGGAGTTATCGGTGCATTCACGAATGATCCCTCCACTGTACAACGACTCAGCGCAACGGGGATTCCTGTCTGGTTTCTACGCTTTCCAGAGCAGATCGTTGGCCAGAACGAGCTTGTCATCCGTAAAGTGGTGCCCATAGAGCCAGCGAGCTCCGTCGTGACAAACGGCGATCTCATCGGGAAACGTGTCTACGTTGGTCTCGTCGGAGAATCCCACATAGCGTCGCTGGCGCGTACTCAGCACATCTACAACGATTTCGAAGTGACCCCGATGCCAGATGTGGAGCAAGTAACAATGCCAGCGTACCCAGATGGCAGCTCACGCTACAAACCTTGTACGTCCTGACGCCATGTACTGTTACTCGTCGCTGACAGTTAGCGCACAGATCCTGTTACCTCTCCGAGGCAAACTCACGCAGGCCGCGTGGCCCTTGGAGCCGATTTTTCCCCCATGATCGACCCCCTCTTGCCACCTCCCATTCCCGGGTTCGCCGCGGCAGCTAAAACCACTCGATATAATCACATCAGTGCGAAGGGGAAATGGGGCTATTTCTTACCCCGATCAGACTGGTTCCTGGGGGTCAAGGACGAGCAAAAGAGGCAACGATACCTTTCAGCCTGGCTTGATCTCCGAGTCCCGTGGATGTATGTCCTCAGCTGTCGCAACGCGACAGTTCCTCGCACTCTTTCGTCGCAGCTCTGGCGCGACTATCTCCAGAATGCTCGGGACGTCCTTTCCTCGGGCAGCACCACGACTCGTGCCGGTGAACGACGATCTCATCTCGCCGCCATCTTAACGAAGGTTTTACCTCCCTCGGCACTCAGCGCTCGGACCGGCGGCACCATCCAGTGGATGGAGCATAGCTTTGACGGCCACATGCCCTCTCGGCTTTGGCCACAAGTCTTGTGGGAGCTTCACGAAGTCGCCTTTCGGTACGAATTGCTGGAATTAGACCGGGTTATGGTCCCGAATGCAGCACGCTCAGGGCCAGATGCTGAATCCGAAGAGGTTACGCGTGAGGCGTTGATTTGTGCCATCTTCCCTGGAGCATGCAGCTTGCAGGTCTCTGATCTCGCTGCTGCCCAGCAAGGCCTTGCCTCCGAACAACGTGGCGAACGTGGTAAGGCACTGGATAGGTGGCTTCACGTCGTGCGGCGATGGCCCCGCTGTCCTGATTCTCTGCGTAACTGCACCAGGCTTGAGTACCAGTTCGCGGAAGGACAGATGAACTACGTCGAACGAGTTTTAGTGCATTATTATGTGGAGACGTTTTTCGAATGGGCCGGCCGTCTTCCTGTCCTTCCTCGACGTTACCCCTAGATCTTCTGAACGTGCATCCAAGTCGCTTTCGAACGCTATCGTCTCTGTTGTCCACATTGCTATGACTTTTGCTCACTCGAGATATACTCCTCTCTATTCATATTATATATTCCTCTTTATTCGTATCGTTAAACAATCGTTCCGTGGTTCTAGCAGATATCACGACAAATCGAATTCGACTGTCTCGCGAAGTCGAGCGTCTAGAGGCGTGATGCAACGCGTGGTGGCGTGTCACCCAGGTCACATCCTCCCCATCAGAGCTGCAACGCTGCTGACTCTCAGACCGAACCCTCCGTCTCGAATGCGGTACAAGCGCAAGGCCGACTTTGACCAAAATCCGTCCCGGAAGCTATTCCGGACGTTGTCTGGCTCGCCTGGGGAGCCCCCCCAGTTTGATACAGCGAGAGAAGCAAGGGTGCGTACGAACAAAGACCGGAAACTTCACCTTCTAATATCAGTCATGCTTCGCTTTTCAGGCGACGCGCAGACACACTGTACGGCGACCGATTTGTCCGTCGTGAGGACGCTAGTCTGACCAGCATTGTAGGACCGATCGAGGATCGCAGCATTACGGCTGGCGTTCTTGCAACAGCGGAATACAACGACAGCGCAGGATACGCCACTCCGAAAGGCTGTAGGGCAACCCATTCTGTCCGTCGTGATGATGCCAGGCTGACTGATGTCGTAGGACCGGTTGAGGCACGCAGCACCACGACGGATGCTCTTGCGCCAGCGGAATACAAAGACGGCGCAGGATACGCCATTTCCTTCCATGCGAGCCACTGATACACCAAACGAGATACAGGACGGGTCAGACGCACTGCATGAATGGAGGGCGGTCAGAGATCGAGAAAGCATTTACGAAGAGGAGCGTGCACGCATGAAACACAGTTGGAGGCTCCAGCACAGTAATCTAGGCCAGGAAAATGTACGTAGCTTTCATTCTTTCATGGCGTTGTTCTTATGATGAACTGTTGACCAGGTTGGGATCGGAGCGCAGTCGCTAGCCGATGCAATTCCTGATGACAGGACGTCCCTGAGCCGTACCGTCCCACTCGGCCGAAGTGCAATGTCTGTCGCTCATAGCATCGGTTCCGTGTTGTGGCGTGCTGTCGCTCGCGTCCTCCAGCTCGCCACAGGATCCGTAGGCACCCTAACCCCTGCGCACTTCTTGGCCGCATCCTTCGTTGCCATGTCAGCACTCCAGTTCATCACGGACATCCTGATCATCTGTATCGGCATTGCTCCGTGGATCTTCGTCCTCGCCTCGGGTTCCCTTTCATCCGGTTACAGAGCCGTCGCTCCGTACCTACGGATATGCGGCATAATGTCGTTCTACCTACTCATCCAGAGTCTGATTGCGCTCTTAACATGTCTCGACACGGCAGCTATGCTCGGACGACGTCTTTTGCTGCGGCCAACCCTTCGCGCCATGCATTCTCCGTGGAAGCGACCTGTCGCATACACGACCGTCGTCGCTCTGATGATCATAATATACATCGGAGTCTTCAATCGAGACGTGTTCGTGGTCCCTGCAGAAGTACAGAGGATGGACGATGTGCAGCTAGTTCGCAGGTAACGATTAGTCGTCTTGACGCCTGGGTCGGTTGGCTAATCATTGGGAATAGTGTACAGGGGCCGCAATCCATCCGACAGGTCCTTCGAGGCGGAGATAACTTCTCGGCGTACTATCCATTCCCTGACGCTAAGACGTCCCGACTACTCTCGAAGACATGCTATCACGTCCAGTACTCCCGCCCATTCAATGGGTTGTTGGCAGGCGGAGCTGAACTGTGGACCGAATGGGGACAGCCGGGGGCGACTGTGGCTGGTAGTGCACGCTCTTCTATGCGTTGGAAGTGCCTATCCCCAAGGCATGCCGGCTATACCGCATGCTTTGTCTGCCCAGGACTTCCCGCTTCTTTTGAGATGGGTGCAGACCAGATCTAAATCATTCCACGAACAGGGTACGTGCGTTCATTACTCGAATGCCTACCATTACTCATCCTCATTTACGGGCAGCTGCGCAATTGTACGGTGTTCTGATTGGAGCAAAGATCTGTTTGGGTGCATAGCTGGATACACGGACTTGTTGATGCAAGATGAACTGAAATACTCGTCTCCGAATGTTGTATCACGATTACTCACCATCTCTGCGAGTGGTGCGTTCATTATGCGAGCCTTTTTCTACGAAATGTTTTCCACGAACAAAGCGTTCTCGGGCCGCCTTTGTATAACGTCACATGGTCGACACCTCTGTAGATTCCTTTGTTCGCGTTAGTAGCTGACAGTTGAAACAGCCCCACTGCATACCTTCACCTCGCGTCGTCGTCCCGCTACACATTTCCTTCGCCATCCCGCTGCGGGCTGAAGATTCCTTCGCAGTCATGTCTTCCGATGTGATCCCATTGGCTAGTGCCATCCAGAACGTGGCCGAAGGCAGAAAGGCCATACTGGAAGCCGGAGTGGCATACAGTCTAGAACTCCGGAGGTGCGTAGGCCTATTGCAGGCTCGCTTTGCTCTACTCATTGGTTTACAGGAGCCTTGTCCTAAGGGACCTCAGCTACCGTAAACTCGAAGACCTGAACTTTCCCATGAGGCGGCTTCAGAAGCAGAACAAAGTGTACAGAGAAGATGTGCTTGCACGCGTTCAAAATCAGGCCCAGAAGGCCAGGAGGTTGCAGAGTGCAGCACGAGTCTTGAGGAGTATTAACAGGCTTCGTGCCCTCAAATTGACATTACAGGCCGCATACGCTGAGGCCAGTCTTTGTTCTACTGTAGCCCAGACCCCCGTTGACCGTGTCCTGGATGCTTGCAGACCGTGACGTCTCTCGAACAGGCACGCCGAGTCGTGGCCGCCGACGAGAAGCTCACAGTCCTTACGATGATAATATCATCGCGCACGGGCTTCGAGACTCTGTGGCGGCATGGGGTCACAATGGACGCGGATGCTTCCGAGCTGCAACAGCGCTTAGCGATACTGGAGGGACCAGAGGTAAGTCATCTTGTATAAGGTTACGCAGATCATGCTGAGTAGCGATATCGAAGGACGAGCTTTGTGAACAGCTGTCCCCACTGAAGGAAATGCCTTGTTTTGGCAATACTGAAGTCCAAGGAAACGCTGTTCTCACCGAGCTCAAAGGGATCGAAGCGTTTCGGGGCGCCGATCTGCGCGACGCTCTAGAGATTCAGTCGGCGGCTCGGCGCAGATGGGAGTCCAGTGGTCTGTCTGCTGTGACCCGCGCAGATTTCGACGGGGTGATGCAGCAGCTTGAGAAATTGACTACGTCGGTTCACGACACAGGAAACCGCCAAAGAAAGCTCCAGGAGTCTCTTTGGGTGCGTTTTTCGATTGTGAAACCGTGGAATTATGCTTTGACGACCCGGCAAATCACAGGAACTGATGGACAAGGCAAAGACTGTACCCAAACTCAAGGATGGAATTTCAGTCGACCGCCTTCTCAAGACCAACGCCGACGCGACGGAGTTCATCGAGCGTACCGAAAAATATCGGAAGGTGAACTACGTCCATCATTACGAAGCCATCCCACTCTAACGACTCGAACCAGCTGTCGGAGCAAGGGCGTACGACGCTCAACTGGGGTGCGGCGTATGCCAGAGGAGTGTGCGCTCAGGCTCCCGCAGGCCAGTAGATTCCTACGTACATGACGGAGAGAACTCCGCCTTCAACATACGTAGATATATTACCTCTTGTAACAATTCGTATGCGTCGTCGAGAGCCCTCGCACAATGGGAGTAGTGCGCGAGGGTGGAATCAATTCCTAATTGTGATCGTCAGCAAAGGCTCGCTATACTGCGAGTTTGTGGCGTTTTAGAGCGGCGGTCAATCCAGCCACGTTGATATCGCGCTGGAGAGGTGGGTACAGGTTCTCTCAGGCGCTATAAAGGCATCGATATCTTCCTCCCCTCCCTCTTTCAACACACCCTCCAAGAGGCGCCATGGCCAACACTGCTTATGTAGACCTGCATGTCTTGAGTCGCGGTCATTGTCTGACTGTGAACTGTGTCGCGTTCTCTCCTGACGGTCAGTATCTGGCGAGTGGCGGCGACGACATGTGCCTTCTCATATGGAACGTCAAAGACGGAACTCTCCTCTACCGTCTACACTTCAAAAGTGCAGTCGATAGTGTGATATGGCACCCGGTACACCCAGAGACCGTCGTTGTAGGTTGCGAGGACGGGAGTATTCACCAGATGCGTGGTTTCTCAATCGTGGGTTCCGTCTAGTGGTATTTGCCACAAAGCTGTTTGATTAGAAAGTGCTGACTCGGATGCATTACGGACAGGATGGTCACGAAAAGTTTGACGTGAGGCTTGGTGTCAAGGGCCCGGTACACTTTCTACAATACGATGCCGACGTATCCTGCCTTGCGGCGGCTATTGGCCCAGAGGTACATGTTACGAAGGAACAGGATAAAGGTAAGCCCACGATGCTGGTCCCCAAAGCACCCAAGTAGTCTCACCGGAAATAAACCAGATATGTATACCGGAGGCCTGAGACTAGCCTCACCACCACCGTTAGCCGCTGCCGCTTCTACAAGTCGCGACGACGACGAAGAGCGTGATACGCGCCTGCGGGTCACAGGGATCCACTTCAGCAGGAAGGGTCGTGTCATCATAGTGTCGTACGTCGCACATGGCATCATGTGAGTCGTTTTCTATCTGCTAGTACTTCGTTCACTCACGTAGATGGGCATGCATAGAGCGTGGGACCTAGTCAAGCGCGAGCGACTCTGGCACGTCGTTCCACTGAAGATGCACCGATGATGTGAGTGTCGCGCCGCGTGCTCTCATATCCGGCATAGTTAACACAATTTCAGTGCATCGTCTGCGCTGTCTCCGGATTGCAAACAACTTATGGCCTACCATCTCCAGAAGGGCTTGCGCCGCTATACCGTCACCACGTATTTCGCCAAGCACAGCCGGTGCAAGTACGAGTTCGATGAGCAGCAAACAAGTCGCCTCTCGTTGCAGATGTCGTTTCTGCACGGGGGCAAAGCCATTGTTTGCGGAACTACCACAGGCAAGGTCTGTATATGGGACGTTGAGACGGGAGAGCTTTACCAGAAACTGCCGCATGATAGTGAGTTCGCAGGGTTGCGTAGACCGTGACTATGGATTGTGCTGACACAATATGTAGCTGATACCGTTCAGGCCGTTGCGGTATGCATATCATATTCGAGACAACAACTTCAGGCTGAAGTGCTGCATAACAGGCGCATCAAACAGGTGCATTCAGCTATATTGCAACGGGGTCCTCCGGAACGGGGCAGCGTACGTATATCAAGATATGGCGTGCAAGGAACAGTGAGCTCAGGCCCGGGACGATTAATTATGTCGTCGGCTGACCAACTCGGGTGTGTAGATGAGCGTACCGAAGGCACATCCCCCGATGGCCCAATGGCTGAAGCGTTCGACGTCCTGACGGTACGCAGTCGTAGTACTATACCGAACGACATCTGATATCCTAGTCAGTTTAACCGGATCTTCGTCTTCAGCGATGATCAACGGCGTGCGGTCCTGTTCACCACAACGTTTCTGGCATCATCTTGGTCTCCTGGCTGCTGTACAACATTGGTCTTTCCGTTCCCTGGAAATTTGTCTTTTGGAACTGCTGGGATTGGTGCGCCGTCTATCTCCATCAATCTCTAATTGAATTTCACTCAAACATATGCCCGTAGCTCCTGGGTACGTGGCGCTCAGCGGTCGCAGCAGCCAACTGGCTTTGCTACTATTGCGGACGTGCGTTGTCCTTCCTATGGCTGCAGATCAAAGTCAGTCTTGGAACGGTGATAATGAATATAATGGAGGATCCTGATGTTCGAAGAGTATTGGAGTTTTAGTCCTCTGCAGCGGGCGGCCTGTCTATGCTGTTACTTATGTGTACCGTTCTGATTACCTGCCGAAATACGAGTCAGTGTCCCCATATCATGATACTTCGCCTGTTGGTCCTCCAAACGCCACGGCGCGAGGCCGTCTGCTCTCGATACGGTACGAATCTCGGCGAGCAAGTAGCCGACCCATGTATCATCATTGCCTGTGGTTTCCCTTTGTTCTCAGTGCCGCAGAAGAATGCATCACACGCGGCAGGCGTGTGCAGAACTATAACATTGTTTTACCTTTGCTTTGCTCTATCACCATCGCACGGTGAATCTGCTCAGCTGCATCCTCCCCGCAAGTGACCATGCCGGACGCCACTGGGGGAGACACTCCCTCTGCACCTCAGATGAGGCCAACCAACCGATATCAACAACTTCAAGGAACCTGCAGAGCGATCGTAACAACGAAGCGGGCCACGATGTAGAAGGTACCGCCGAAGTGGAATCTACAACGCAAGCGACCATGCTACGTAACGCTGGCGAAGACTCTGCCTCAGCAGCGCCTTCGAGACCGCATCCGGCGACTCCTGCCAGCGCTGAACCAATGCCAGCGCTTCCACGGAACCTCAAGAGAGGTCGCCACGACGATGCGGACGACAATGACAATGTCGGAAGCACAGACTCGGACGACAATGACAATGTCAGAGGCACAGACTCGGACACCATCAGCACGGGCAAATTTCTCAGACTGGATGAGACGGGTAAACGTGCCAGACCGGTTTTCCAGGTCTGCAATCTACTCCCCTCATTACATTAGCTTTGCCGCTGATCATCCGTCGTCACCTACTTAGGACGAAGATGCTACCGCCACTAGTACCACCGTGACGACGTCCGCGCCACCCCCGACCCGGAGCAGCGCAAGGCGTGTGCGCCTTACAGGAACAGGCCTTGGCAACGTATGGCCATTCTCTCTTGTGCGTACTCCTCCTTCCTCCCAGTCCCGATCACCGGCTACATGACATGTCTTCGATCTTCCAGTTACCGGCATGGTCTCCGATAAGGACGGCAGAATCCAATGCGTCAACGAGTGCCGTCGAGTAGTACGGTTGTGACCTCAGGTCCCGTTGGCCTGTCTTCGCAAGGAGCACACACGCTTCCTCGAGCTCTCAAGTGCCGCCGACCCGTAAGTTCTTTCCATGGCTGTGCACTCCCCTATTACAGCCTAATCTAACGGTGTTTAGAATCGGAGGCACAAGCATCTCAGTCGACGCAGCCCGGGCCAAACGAAGGGGTTCATGCCATGGACCTTAACACGAATGAAGTCAGCGGTGCGGCAACGCTGTCAGGCCTTACTGACGCTGCAAGGAGCGACGTCGCGCCGGAGTCCAGCGACATACAATTGTCCGCGCCGGACCGCAAATCGATGACACCATCCGGTTCCACTCCCCACGACGTGCAAGGCGGAGCGCTAGCGACGGGATCAGCGTCGGTGAGGCTGTAGATATGTGGTGATACTTTACTTATTTCTGACTACGTCGTCGTGCTGGCTTCATTCACAGCGTTTTGGTCACCCAATCAATACACTCGGGCGAAGAGCGTACGAGAAATCCAAAGCAACGTCATCCCGGAGCCACCCTCAAGCTCGAGCAATGCAGGACCCAGTACATCGAACAGCGCTACGAGAGTGCCCCATCACTCTGCTGGTGCGGGTACACGACAGCGGCAGGTATGTTCGCGAGTGGCCCCGACTGGGAAATGACGAAGTTCAGTTCAGTTCCAGGATAACGACTTCATCACCACTCAGCAGCTCGATCGACTCGAACAGAAGCTTGTTCATCATGTGCGTGCAGTCGTCGAGGAGTCCATGGCCGAGATGATACAGGTCGTGCAAGACATGGTCCAGCCCCATCAGCGCCGCCAGCCCAGGCCTGAGCAGAACGAAGGCGGAGATGATGATGGGTCCGAAGCTGACGACGAAGGAGAGGGAGCCAAAGGTCCTCCGCAAGCAAAGTTTGTATTCAGGAAAGCCGAGCCGACGCCGCGAGAGACTGAGAAAACTAATCTGCAGGTCCGAGTCGTTCGGTTTGACTCAGAGCTTGTGGCAGTGCTGATGCTACGGATGCACAGGATGCCATAAGGCACCATGCGCGTCGGCTCATGGAACGGCTAACGAACGGGCTCCTTTGATCAATCGTGCAGATCCTCGGGAGGTTGCTGCTTATCATCCTGATCCCTCTGATCCAGACGCTGCCGATAGAGTCCTTCCTTGTACCGCAGAGGATTTCAGACCGGACTTTGACGGTAAACCACATTCGCAGTGGAACGTCGGTGTTGCGATAGTTTTCACACGGAGCTTCGTGAGGGCTTATCCAACATTCCTGGAGACCTTCGAATATGAAGAAATCGGCGAGCAATGGATCACGCACTTTACGTACCTGAGACGTTGTTATTTGCAACGGCAGAAAGGGGACGACGAAATCTCGAGGATACGACAGACAGCGCGTCGCAAAGCGCGCAGAGAAGCTGTGAGTGTATGAGCAGTCGCATGAGTGATATTCGTTGAAATGTTCGCACAGATATTCAACAGACGTCTGGCCGCTGCTACAATGGTCACAGGCTCGGAGCCCCAGGCACGAGATTTAGTGACATCGCTTGGACCGAAGGCATGAGTTCTGATGAATCAGATCATGACATGGGCAACGGGAACCCGTCTACAAGATTTCGACGAGCTCGTGGAGAAGTCTCGGTTAACGAGCTGGCTGAGGGGACTCGATGCCCTGCATCTGATGGACCGTTACCGCGGTGTATTTGACAAGTCGCCGGGTGGTTGGCCGCACTTTCGACAGGCTGCCCTAGGGAAGCTGAGCACTCGTGCGGCCGTGGGTCATCTACCAAAGGCGTGCTATGCAGACAATTGGCTTGCAAACCAATCATTTTTCCTCCGTGGCACGTTACAGATGGTAGACATGGCGGTGAACTTGACGCATCCGGAGGACATTCAACGGTGAGTTCGCATGGCAGCATGACCTACAAGTGATTCTGACACTCATCACAGTATTATTGACCGCTATGATGTGATGGACAGAGATGTCGTCAAGGTCGGCGCATACCTAAAGGCGACGAGGACATCGATACTACGATCGGGGCTCACTTCACTCAGACCTGAAGACGCCGAGATGGCTCCTCCCGCGCAGAACTCACGCAGGGGACGAAACGCATCACCAGGGCCTTCAAACCCTCGTAGTTCCGGTTAAGTCATCAGTACTTCGGGCATTCGCCGACACATTACTTACGGGCGCGCATAACGTCAGTGAGTTCAGTGTGTCAGTGATATTCGAGCACAATGTACTGTACATAACTCCAAGTTCAATTCTAAGTACAGTTATACTTCGTACATGATCGATGTTCTACGTGAGTTCCACGTCGTCGCAACTCTTCGCGCGTAAGTGGCGTGTCCATCACAGACCACAAACACGACAGCCAACAGGCGAGCGAACGGGCAGGCAAGTCGAGTGGGCGAGTCGAGCGGGCGAGCGGGCGAGGGGCTGATGGGCCGAGGGTGGGCGCGTGAGAAGCCGAGGGCGGGCGCGTGAGTGGGTAGACGAGTGGGCGTACGAGCGTTGTGCAAGGGAGCACGGGCGAGGGAGTACGAGCGGGCAAGACAAGCGAGAGGGTAATATAGGGGACGAGCAGACGACGAGAGCGAACGAGCGAATGGGCGAAGGCAGGCAGGAACGAGCGAATGGGAGAAGGCAGGCAGGAAGGAGCAGGCGGGCAGGTGAGAGCAAGCAGGCGGGCAGGACAGGGAAAGCGTATAGGCGAGCGGATGCGGACCGCGGCCCCGTAGTGGTACAGCTGACCGGGCAGGGTGTGGTTGTAAACGACGCGGATGGTGATGTAGGGGAGGTAGATTGTGCGTGTGGGCAGGTACAGCCTCAGCGTCACTGACCGTCACCGTACAAATAGGCGGCTGAGAAGCCGAGGGCGAGCGGGCGTGAAGGCGAGCGTGAGAGGGCGCGTACGGACGGGTGTCGGGCGATTGATCAAGCTAGCAAGAGGACGAGCGCGAGGATGCAAGCACACGCGGGTGGGTGTACCGAACGGGCTGGTGCGAGAGGGCGGGCGTGTGGACGCGAGAGGGCAAGCGGGCGGGCAAGCCGTATGCGCGGACGGACGCGTGAGCATTCACGGACTGGCATGCACCAGCTCTCCTTACCTTCGCAAGTCTCCACACCCATCCTCCTCGTCCTTCCCATTGCCCTCCCTCTTCCTCGGTCCGAACCTTTTACTGTACGTTCAAAATAGTTTGCGATTAAGCCGCGCGGGTCGAGGTTTGTGCAGAGGAATCCACTACGCACGAGCTCTCATCCGCGCGTGCGACCTCGAACAACTGACGCATTGCCCACGCACAACAGAAGCGCGGAAGCACATCGAGCTCTGCGCCGACAGCTACTGTGAGGCGCCGTCGGCGGCGCAGCGTACTGCGGACGTGAGTTCCAGGTGACGGTCTTCACCACGTCGACTTGGAGAAGCCGCAGGATGTCAAGCGGGCAGATTTGTAGTTGGGGCGCATCACTGTTGATCTTGGGCCGGTCCATACCCTCGTAGTGGGGCCGGGTAGGTGGAAGACAAGCAGGTGCTCGTCCATGCCGAAGTCCATAGCGCTAAATTGCACCATCGTGCGTGTCTGGGTCGCATGAACTGAGGATTTAGACAGAGAGCTCTGCGCGCACCTTGTCATCAACCAGTAAACGCCTATCATATAGGGCTAGCATCCTCATCACGGCATTCCAACCTCATACTCGCCCCAGCTCCCGGCACGGTCGAGCTTGTCGCGGAACACCTGCGTCGCGGCGCGTGGCTTGTTGAGGAGCGGGTCGAGGCGGTCGGGCTTGACACGACTGAGGTCGTACTTGAGCCCGATGTATGGATTCGCGTGCATTTCCGGGGCGTGGGTTGAGTAAAACTCGTGAGAGTGCCCGTTGAGATGGCGCGAGACGCGTATGGTCCAGTGACGGTAAGGAGAGTGAATGAGCTTCAGCTGCAACTCCGAGTCGAGAGCGTTTTGCGATCGAAGTTCTAAGCGCCTGCACCGGGAAACTCCGACGCGGGCGATTGTGTGCCACCCGCCTCCGCCGCATCGGTCCCGCTCTCGCCCCTCGCTAGCTCACTCAACACTCACCGGATTGGCTCGGAAGCCCCATCATCACACTTTACGCATCGACGCAATGGAAGTTACAACGGAGGCGTCAACAGCTCGCGAACGCACATCATAATACTGAGCGACGAGCAGACGATTGGGCGCGCTTCATCTCTCTGTACAAGAGGCTCACCTCCGTCGGCGTCGTCATGGCTCAGAAACAGCCCAGCCTCTGCTCGAGCGCGTGAGGACGGCAGCCTCACCGCTGCCGCCGCCCCGGGGTCGGCGAGGGCGCGCCCGCGCTCGGTGTCGATCATGTCCACGCGCGCGCGGTGTTGACCCCCGCGCAGCGCTGCCTCTCGCGTCAGGCGTGCGCGCGTTGATCGGCGAGTGTGAGCTTGTGGACGTCGCGGGCCCTGGCGAGGGCATGGATAGCGAACATGAGCGGGCGGGGAAAGAGCGCGATGAGGAGCGCGAGCGAGTATTGCTACCATGCGGACGTGTGTGTGGGCGAAGGGTGGAGGCCTGTGGGCGATGCGAGAGGTGCGTACGTATGCTGGCGCTGCATGGACTGATGGATAATATACATTTGGCGATGACAGGCGGGTTGCGCGCGGCTGCGTCGATTTGTGTAAGTGTGCACGGGGACTGAGCGGAGGTGGAGGCGGCGCGGTGGCATAGCAGCCGCGTGGCGGTGTCGTACACCAGGTCCGTTGTTATTGTTGGGCATGTGGCGGTGAAGTGGCCGCTGAGTGTGGGTGCGCAGGCTCCTCAAAGTCATCCTGAGCACATACCACCAGATCCGCTCGCAAGGCAACGGCATCCTACGCAACATCTCGGGGGCAACCTCGACAAGGCATTTGCCTTCTTGCGCCCCGGTGCGTAGCCCGTTCCCTCCGTTCTCCCCCCGCTCGCAATGCAGCAATCGCTGACTGCTGCTGTCCGTGCGCAGTCATCCAAGGCGACGTAGAGATTCCGCACAACCCGCGCAGACCCGCGCAGCACCCGTACCCGCCGCCGCCGCCGTCGTCACGAAACCCGAGACTCTAATCGTCCTGGGCAGCAAGGAGACGCCATCCCTCGCGGAGCAACAGACCATCCAGGGGCAATCCAACGTGAATCGGCGACATATATGGACTTTACCGTACCAATGGGCTGAGGGTCGCCAGGGAGGATACGCGCATAGAGGGAGCACAGTCCATGCCGGTGCGCCCGCAGGTGATGTTTAGTTTTCATCTTGAATTACAGCGGTTGGACTGTGACGAGTCGCAAAGGAAAATATGGCTGAAGGGAGGTCCCTCGTCTGCTCTGGACGTTTCCTTTGACGCAAGCGAGGACGGCGACAGCAGCTTCTCGAGCTCGAACCTCCTCTTGACGCCTGCGCAACACGGAACAGATCGTGTCGGAGTACGGGCCCTCGGGAGGTCTCCGGTCTGATCACGTACTCGAGGCCTCATGCAACATCCAACACGCGGGGCGTACAGTACCGCTGCCGACGAAGAAGATGAGAGCGTGGCTTGCCTCTCCGTGGCTGCAAACCCTTCTGTTCTGCGCCCTTCTCAGGCAGGACTGGACGTCGGCCGTCGAGCTTTCAAGCAGCAACGAAATGCCATAATTTGCGTCGACGAATCCTTCCGTCCTTCGTCCTCTACGTTTGTTCTCCTAGCATTACTTTGACAAGATATTCTGAGAATGTAGTGGCGGATCCTGCGGTGTCTATACATTGTGCCCAGGATATTGATCGCGCCTGCCCAAGGTGCCCTGACCTGTTCCATGGATGGGTGCGCGAGCGAACGCGCGAACGAAAAGGCGAACGAATGGGCGAACGAATGGGCGAACGAATGAATGGGCGAACGAATGATTGCGAACCATGGACGATAAAGCAAGTAAGTACTGGGCCCGTGTGCACTTATTTAGTAGCGACGTACCGATCAGTGGTCTTCGATCTAGATCTAGGATAATCACATTGGTGAGAGTGCACGCACCGGCGATGCACCCTGAGTCTTGTTGCCCGGCACCTCACAGTCTCCTAGTCTCTAGTCGCCTTCGATATCGTAATTGGATCCTCAGACCACGTCGTGCCCAGCAGTATCGCCACGAAGATGAAGGAGGCAAACATGACGATGGCGAAGGTAACGAGGGAGGAGGAGGAGGACGAGGAGGAGGACGAGGAGGAGGACGAGAACGAGGAGGACGATGTCGCAGATGAAGACGTGGATGAGCTCGAGGAGAGCGATGTCTCCGGCCCAGAACGTGCGGATAAGCGGCGCCAAGTACACATCAAGGTCAGTGTACCATGCGTTCACACTTGTTGTGCCGTTCACAACATTCTCCGTTAGTTCCACGGCAACTATAGATGTGATTACTGCAAGCGTGCTGAGGAATGGGCACAAAAACGGGCAGCGAAGGTCGGGAAGGGCCTCAGTGAAATCGCACCGTTCATTTGCACGATCTCTGGGAGACGGAAGTGTTGCGACTTCTGCTCAAAGGGCCGGCGCGCACCCTGCTCGCTTCAGGTGAGTGTTTGGTCATCCTTACGCCACATTCAATGATGTGCTGAATTGTGGGCACAAGCCATATCTCATCGACAATTTGGTCAGCGTCGATAAGGACCTTGTCGGCACATACACAATCAACCACGCTCCCGAGGCCACAGTTACTGGCATCGAGTTCAACAACAAGATCTACTCAGCAGCCCGCGTACAGGACGGTTTGCCTCGAACGAAGCGTACGACCAGCCCCGCAAAGCCCAAGCGCAAGAACGCAGTGAACGCAGCGAAAAGGGTCGCAAGTGTTCGCAGCAGCGCAAGCCAACCCCGCAAGCGTGCTCAGCCGCGCACACCTATCGCCACCTCAGTAACTGGATCGCCTTCGCATTCAAATAACTCGCCAAGTCATGTCGAGACCGATCTTCTGAACCAGGAGGGGTCTCGTCTCCGCAGCACTGCGGAGGAGGCCCTGGATGTCCTGTGCAGTGATGTCCGCAGACTCGAGAGCGAGGTGTACGAACTTCGCAACACATTGGAAGCCGAGCGGGCATACCGGAAGGAGGTAGCAGTCGATCTCGCCAAACTTCGCAGTGAGATGGATGACCTACGCGCCGGCGCTGGTGTGCGCTCCTTGGCCGCTCTTGAACTGGATATATCGGCGTTCGTTGCCAAGGTTAGGAGGCAGTTGGGCAGTGTCGATGATCGCGATGATCGTGGCGTAAGTTCATGTCCATGGCTTATGTTTCCCCCGCTGATGACTGGTATGAACCCTGTTACATGTTAGACGACCCATCAAGCGGCTGGTATGTCCAGTGAGCCTAGCGAAGGCAACGACGGCGACAGTGCTACAGTACTATGAATATAACTGCACCGATCACACCGTCTGGTCCCAATGTGACATCGCATGGAGATCTCGTAATGACGCTATAGTGCCTTCGCCTTTGAAGACCATAGCAGTACATGCCGCTGGGTGGGTTGGTGCAATGCGCGACGTGTAGAGTACCGAGGCAGCTTCGCAGTGTATACTATCCGATGGTACGTGCGAGCGCAACGCGCCCGCCGCGAAACGTCTATACTCGTTTACTTTCCTCGATCGCACGGCGATGACCAATATTGTTTCTCCGTTACGCCTACGGACAACACCAGCTCGCGATGTCGGTAGCTCTTCTCCCACTAAGCAGCTCCTCCGCGCGCGACTCGGGGTGTCGATATGTTTTCGAATTCGACATAAGGGCGTCGCGGCGCTAATGACGACTTACGTCATCGTCTCACGCCCCTCGACCTCAGCCCGACGACCTGCAGCCCTTCGTGCTACATATGCGGCGCTCAGCGCTCAACGCTCACAGCGTCCACCATCCCGCAGCTGCTGCAGCTCCGTCGCAGCGCCGCCGTCAATGTCCGTCCGAAGCCCTCCCGGAACGAAGGGACCCGCCAGCTGGCGGGTCGAAGCACGGCGGCTTAGCCCGCGAGGACGTCCGCCAGGTCGACATGGGGGTCGACATAGGGTGTCGGCGCGACGAATCCCTGCGGAACGTTGGCAGGATGTCGCCTGTTTGCGGGCGATCTGTAAGTGCGCTCTCTCTGCGTGTTCTAACGCCAAGCTGACCTATATGCAGGAGACTGTCGCCGACGGCGGATTCGCCGCCACCCGAAATCGACCTACAGGGCCAAGACGACGACCACCCCCGCTTCACGCCCTCGACTGTGGACGCTGTCGCCCTCGATGGATAGCAAACACCTTACCACGTACTTGCCGCGCCGGATGCGCTGGCGAAGGCGACGCTTCATGCGAAGGTACCCAACTGCAGCCCGTCCGTCGCCCCCGTCTCGCTCCGGTCGTCCGTTTTGGTTTCGACCATGCGTTGATGACCGGATGGTGAGCTCCCGCTCTTGATGAGCGGTAGAGCGAACCTGCTCGGCGAGCCCCAAGCCGCGCGGTCCGTGGAGCGGTACCGTAGGAGGGCCATGCCCGGCCGTGAGGAACGGGTCCTGCGACGACCTCGCCGCTTTCAGGCCCGAGGAGCTCGATGAAAGGTAAACAGGTCGACACGCCGCCAAACCACGCTAGTCCGAGCGCGATACACGACACCACGCCGTCACCGTTGTCAGGGACGACCCAGCGAGGACTGCCGTACGCGCATGTGCCTTCAGACAAACGGCGCTGGGCCCAGCACAGTCAATGGCGAGGCCATCGGACTGACGAACAATAGATCGCAGCCTGTGTCTTTTCGACTACGACGACCACCTCCTCAACCGACGACTGAACCTCCACCTCCACCACCGCCAACGACCGAGCCTCCACCGCCTCCCCCG